TTCGGATGCGAGCCGCGGCGCTGCTAGATGACTGGCGGGATCTAGCAGGCGAGGTTTGTCTCGTTCGTTCGTGTCCCGCGTCCTGAGAAGGACGGGCGACGAGACGTACCGGGTGAGCGGGGGGCTGAAATGTGGTTTCGATCGATTGACCTCCCCCCGCTCCTGTACCATGACGTAACTCCGTACCGTGACGTATTCCCGTACCGTGATGCGACTCTGTACCTTGACGTATATCTGTACCGAGACGCGACTCTGTACCTTGACGTATATCTGTACCGAGACGTGACTCTGTACCTTGCCGTGTTTCTGTATCTTGACGTATCTCTGTACCGAGACGTATGTCTATTGCCGATGGAGACCTAGGTGATTCCTCAAACACTCGTATCGGCGCTTCTTCGGTTTGAGAACGCGTCTTCACCATTGTAGCGGCTTCGTAACTCTCGAATATTCCGTTTCTTGAGTTGATGCCGAAAGATCCGGACACTTGCTTGATCCGGTGTAGAAGGATCGCAGACTTTCTTGATCCGGCGTCGTAGGACCACGAACTGTAGCAGATGGACTGTAGGCTGGATTATCAACAGGTAGGTAGCAGAGGTCGCAAATAAAACGCTTGGTTCGGAGAAAACACAGAGAACATTCAATGGCAGAACATGCTTTATTGCAAAAACCCGATCACTTAAGTACATTTTGTTTGCTCGCACTTAGCTCATATATTAGTCAGTTATCTCATAAGATTTTGCAGAGTGGGGGTATGCTACCCCGCACCGCGCGGGGAGGGGAAGGTTTCGCTGTGGTCCCGCTGGTGGCGCTGCTGTTGAGACGCGGCTCGATGTCCTTTACAAGTTATATAAATCGTATGGCTGGAGTTCAATTCCCGCATCTGAATAAAATTACTAAAGATATTTGGCAATGGTGTGAGGCTCGTAGAATACTTATTACAGCCTCATATATAAAGTCCTCTGATAATTGCATTGCAGACTATGAATCTAGAAGGTCACATCCGGATGTGGAATGGGAACTGTCTGAGGAAGGTTTTCAGCTCTTAATAAATAGATTTGGGAACCCTCAGATTGATCTTTTCGCAAGCCGTCTTAATAATAAATGCGATAAGTATGTATCTTGGCATCGGGATCCCGAGGCATATGTTGTAGACGCGTTTACAATGAGTTGGGCAAATATTTATTTCTACGCATTCCCACCTGTAGCAGTCATAATTAAAACTCTCAGAAAAATAATATCTGAGAAAGCTGAAGGCATCGTAATCGTACCGGCGTGGCCGTCATAGCCATGGTACCCCTTATTTACTAGACTAGCTATATCTAATGTTATCACATTAAAATCAAGCCACTTAATTTTTCCACATTACAGCAGCAGGAATATACACGCCAACATTATCCTGGTGGGAGCAGTATTGTCCGGACGGCATTACTCCGAAGGGACACACCTGCATCTGCCATAGACATCATGCTAGCATCCTTATCGAGGAACACTATGAAACAATACAACGTTTGTTTAAAAAAATGGTTTATGTACTGTACTGTAAATAATATAGACATATTTCAACCATCTATTCCAGTAATAATAGAATTTCTCACTCGTGTTTAACAGTGGCAGTCAATTTGGCACGGTTAACTGCTATAGAGCCGCGATCGCTCTACTTGTGGGTCCTCTGGCTCAAGATGATCGACTCACTCGTTTTTTTAAGGGAGTGTATAGACTTAGACCTCCTCTTCCACGTTATGATGAGATATGGGATACAAATAAACTATTAGAATATCTAGCCTAATTATATCCCCACGATACATTGTCGTTTGAACAACTGACTAAAAAATGTGCTACTTTACTTGCCATCGTTACAGCACATAGGGTGCAGACTCTCACTAAAATTAATGTACTTAATATAAATATTTCCACTGAACAAATTGTTATTAAAATTCCAGAATTAATAAAAACATCTAAAATAGGTAAAAATCAACCTACTTTATACTTACCATATTTTAAAGATCGAATAGAAGTATGTCCCACGAGTACTTTAATTTCATATATAGATAGATCTAAAGAAATTAGAAAGAGTGAACAATTATTTATTGGCATAAGAAAACCTTATAACCGCGTTACTTCGCAGACTATCAGCAGGTGGATCAAAATCACTCTCAAAGATAGTGGAATTGATGGTTCAATCTTTACTGCTCATAGCACACGGCACGCTGCCACATCAAAGGCATTTAAACAAGGTGTGAATTTGGATTTGATTTTTAAAACCGCGGGTTGGACAGGTAATTCCACGACCTTTGCACGTTTTTATAATAGACCAATTATCCATAACAATGATGATCATACAGCTTTAGCTAGAACAATAATTGATTCCTGATTGTTTTCTATTGTAAGGTCGATTTGGCTAGTTTAATTTAAAATAAATGGAAAATATTATTGATTCATAAAATATGTTGTGCCTAATTCTGTTATAAACATTATACTGAAAAGAAATATATGACTTCTTTAATTTCAACAAAACGTTGTGATATTTTTGTTCTCTCAACATCTACATTGTAATATAATTAAGAAAATATTGATCTCGAGGACGAGGCACGAGTATAATTAATGATTAAACGAACTTACCTGTACGTGAAGTTCAATCATAATTATACGAAGTGCCTCGTCCGAAGAGATTAGTATCTAAAACCCTCCCTCCCTACAGCTTTTTCCCTTTCTGGAAATAAGCCCATCTTCAAAAATATCTTTATCTGGTGATGGTCTCTAAACTAAATGAGGAAGAGAAACCGGGCTGGCACAGTAGTGGGCTCGACTATCCTCAAATGATTTGCTTTTTTTTTTAAATATAGTGCAGGAAGTGGTATCACTAAGCGTTACTACATTGTAATATAATTAAGAAAATACTAATCTCTTCGGACGAGGCACTTCGTATAATTATGATTGAACTTCACGTACAGGTAAGTTCGTTTAATCATTAATTATATTCAATTTGTAAATATTACCTGTTTTTCTCGCAATTCGTCGCGACAAGAGCAGCTAATAAGTAGAAAATAATAAGTGATTTGCAAATAATTCTATTTAATTTATTCGATCACCGCAAGTTTGGTGCTGTTGGTTTTATTATATTGTGTTGAAAATAATAATATCAACATTATGAAAGTTAATAAAAAAAGCGCGTCTTTCATTCATTTCATTTTCATTTTATATATAGAAATAAAGGAGAATGGGCAATTTACTATGAGAGTTCGGCTATTTTTGCGTAACCGTGCACATTGTTGGAACCAATGGTAAACGATAGAGAATTATTTCTAGAATGAGTAAGAAAAAAAACCATTTTAAAATTATGCCGGAGTTGGAGAATATCTGAATATTTAACGGAGATTTTGAGGTTATGTCGTTATAATATCTACGTATATAAGATTACGTATTAATTGTATTTAAAAACAATCGATGACTAAAGAATATAAATATTTAATTCCGAAAAAGTATATATCTACCTATATTATAAAAAGGAAAGATTGAATTTTTTATTGTAAAAGATAAACTCTAAAACGACTGGGCCGATTAAAAACTAGTCTTTGACTAATATAGTACCTAATTAACATTATCAAAGTTAAAATACTCCATATTGTAAAAGTAGTGGTAGGAAGTTTGCATGTCAAGTCGATTAATAACTTGAAACTTAGTAGGTAGTCGTAGTTATGTTGCAGTAGGTAGGTATATACTCACCGCTAAAGAAAATATTATAACAAATGTCACTAGAAATCTTAATTAAAGATATTTATGTATTTATCTAATGGAATCTTGTTATATTTATGTATAACACCAAACATTTTGTTATTTTTATGTATGTACACGAATAAACAATGCCTATTCTTTGGGATTAGTGATGAATGTTAACTTGGCCAATCGTTGGCTCAGTTTGTACGCGTCATATTAAGATTCAATTAATTTGTCTCTTAATTTACTATGAAATAGCGTACATACCTTTGTTCATGCTCAAAAGCAAACCGAAGGAAGTTTATCTTAGATTTTTTCGATGCGAGATTAATCCCTTAGTTTTCTATAATGGGTAAGGCGATCATCCTAATCTAGTATATTGTTGCATGGTTGACATTTATCCAAGGCCATATCATGAATCTAAATTGGTCAGTTTAGCAATTGTTTTAATACGGTTAATTTTAAACGCCGCATAATTATATAATAGTATTAATACAGAATAAATTATAATTAAAGAGAAGATTTTTGATAAATAAATGCGTAGTGCGCTATTTACATAATTTTAGCCTACTTTTGCCCATTCTCCTTTATTCACTTGACATTGGCAGAATTGTGCGAAACGCGCAGATAAGCAATTAATAAAAGAAGAAGAAGAAAAAAAAAGCGCAAAAGGAATCTTTTAATTAGGCGAACGAAGTTTTTCTTACAAAATTTTAAACTTTTTCTTAATTTAAATGAATCAGAATTGTGTTATATTTATATGATTAGTGTATAGTTATTGTATTTGTGTGTATTTATCCTGCAATTTTTAGTTTTATTGTTATGATAATTACTATAAGGTATTTATATCAATAAATCACGAGATCAAACCGTAGGAGACTTAGGTTCTGACCTAGATCCCCCATATAATAAAGTAACTGTAAATAATAGTACAAATAACGAAATGAATATTGACGTCTCTTTAAGCAGTGCGGATGGTTGGACACGTTATCGCGATGAATCGCAAGAAAAACAGGTAATTTTTCAAAATCTAATAAAATTAGAATTTTGACAAAATCAAATTGATATCGAAATCCCTACTTTTAAATAAATGCCTTTGCTTTTGCATTTAAAAAAGTAAAATAGCACGCTGTTGCCGACCATAGACAAAGAAGGAGGAAGTTTGTGACTGATCGATTTTACACCGGCCTCCTAAAGTTCTCAACGTACGGCGTTTTTCTTTGTTTGCCCGATCGCGTTTGTACAGCATCTAAACAAAATCTGCGATCTATAGTCCAGCTGTCGATATGGCGAACACGTTTCGCGCGGTGACGGTATCCGCTGTCAACAATGACGGCGCCTTGACGCCGCGTTTCAATTTTCCCACAAACGTAAACGTGGATTACGATCCACAGGGGCTTAGTGTAAAAGTGATACGTGCAGACCCCGTGCTAGCCCAAGAGGTGCTCGAATTTCCCGTCCATTGTCAGAGTGAGTGTTCGAGAGTAGCGGGCCAGTCTTATATCTTCACTATTGACAATGAAACGCTGTTTTTCAAATTTACATCTGAGGTCGACTGTCAGAATTTCCACCTGCTGGTCAGCAAAATCAAAGCCGGCCGATCGTCATCAGTATTTACCGTGCGAACAGAAGACTCGTCGGCGATGCAATATTTTCAGTTCTATGGATATCTTAGTCAACAGCAAAATATGATGCAGGATTACGTTCGAACGAGTACGTATCAGCGGGCTATATTGTCTAATATAAATGATTTTAAAAACAAAGTGGTCCTAGACGTTGGCGCCGGTTCAGGTATACTTTCATTTTTTGCCGCTCAAGCTGGCGCTCGTAAGGTGTATGCTGTTGAAGCAAGCAATATGGCACACCATGCACAAGCCCTAGTCCGAGCCAATGGCCTTCATGACAGGATTTCAGTTGTTGCTGGTAAAATTGAGGAAATCGAGCTACCTGAAAGTGTGGACATCATCATATCCGAACCGATGGGCTACATGCTGTACAATGAACGTATGTTGGAAACTTATCTTCATGCTAAAAAGTGGCTCAAACCTAATGGCAATATGTACCCCACTCGTGGTGATCTCCATATAGCACCGTTCACTGATGATGCATTGTTCATGGAGCAATATAACAAAGCTAACTTTTGGTACCAAACTTGCTTCCATGGAGTAGACCTAAGTGCACTTCGTACAGCAGCAATGAAGGAGTATTTCCGACAGCCAATTGTTGATACATTTGATGTTCGTATCTGTATGTCCAGATCTGTTAGACATGTGGTAGATTTCCTTAATGCACACGAAACTGATTTGCATCGTATTGAAGTACCATTTAGATTTGAGTTGACACAGTCTGGAACATGTCATGGTTTAGCTTTCTGGTTTGATGTACTATTTGCTGGAAGCACACAACACATATGGCTATCCACTGCACCAACAGAACCATTAACACATTGGTACCAAGTGCGTTGTCTGTTAGAAACACCAATATTTGCAAAGCAAGGACAATGTCTCACAGGTCGTGTTCTTTTACTAGCTAATAAGAGACAAAGCTATGATGTAACTATGGACATAAATTTGGAGGGCACAAATATTTCATCATCCAACACATTGGACTTGAAGAATCCTTACTTCAGATACACTGGAGCACCAGCAGCACCACCTCCAGGTGTAAACAACACTTCACCAAGTGAGTCATATTGGAATTCAATTGAAACAACAGCAACTTTGAGTAATGGGCAAGGAGTAATACTTACAGATGGTACACAGCAATATTGTTCAACACCTGATCAAACAATCACCTATGGGGCTCATCCAAACATGATCAAGACAGTGATGCTCCAGGAAGAGTTCATTAAGAGGATCGGGATTAGTCAAAATGGGGACATATAATCCGCAAAGACACGCCGAGCGCGACTTCGAGCTTTGAAGAACCGCCGGAATGATCGGTTGTGAAAACTCTTCCGTTCGGACATTATTATAGTGTTTAAGCAGACTGTATAATTTATTTTTAAATAAATAAACATCACAGTGGAGAGGACTGTATTCAATAATAGGACTTTGTGGCTGGCCTTGTAAAATTAAGTAACAGAAAGTGAAGAGAAAATGCAATATGAACTTTAAGCCTTACGGTGTAGGTTTCGTTTTTTAACAATTAAATGACGCTTACTAGTGTAATTTAAATTGTGGGAATTGTGTAGAGGTGAACATCATGATTTAATTGAGCCAGATTGATGTTCACTGTGATTGTTCTTGGTAACATCACATGGCGTAGTGATACAATTGTAGAAACTAATAAGCCATGATAGTTTGCTTTAAATTCATTGTAAATATTTTGATTGGAAAACAACTCAGCAGCAAAATTAGCCAAATTATGTCAGCTATTGTGCGTATTATAAAAACCCTGTGATGTGGTATATTCATATAATTAATGATTTTTTAAATTGTGATCTTACAGGTGATTTTATACTATGAACATCACTTAAGCTTCGGCAATTCTGGCTAGATTTAAGTAATTTAGCAGTTGAAAGTACATTTAGGGTAAGCAATAAGTGCTGATTTTAAAGATGATGCTATCATTGTCAATACTCATTTATCATTGTTAGGTCAGGCTCAAGAGAAATGACGTACAGTGAGTATGAAATGCCACCAGTGGTCCTAATCAATTATGTGTGAATGTGAATTTGTATTTTTTTCCATCTGTCTGCCAGTCAAAACAAGGGACTGTTGAACGCATCTGGATTTATAGTTTTTGAATATTTTTATACAACATGACTAGCCATATTATGCATATGTTACGTTATAATATTCTGTAAATATAGGATAAACACCTTTTTTGACACTATTGAAACAGTATTGTTTTCCATTGGATTCTTTAATGAAATCTGGGGGAATATTTTATTATTACACTAGATGTAGTTACATGCTAAACTTCAAATCACTTTACATACGCCTAAATAATAGTTGTAGTTTTTGTGTATATGAAAATGTCTTGATTTCTATTGAAGTTTTTGGGTATGTACTCTTTATTAAAATTTACAATTGCTTTTGAATATCACATTTTTTATAAAAACTTCAGATTGATCTTATAGAAATTTACATATATTAAATTAATGAAAATTCTGGTGCTGTATTTTTTGCACAATAATTGTTTTCGTATAACACTTCTACCTCATGATTTGGCAGACAATTGGATGTTTCATTGTAATCATTTTGAGCACTTTCATATTGCACTGCTTAGATGATAACAATAGCTAATGTAGATGTCCAAAATTTTGTCGCTCACCCACTTATGCTTTATTATGATGGGTTGTATGGTTTTGTGACAATTTAATATGATCATACACTATTTGTATACAAATAGAAATTATAATGTTTGGACAAATTAATTTCTTGTTTTCTATTTCTTTTATAATAAATTAATGTTTGGGTTTAATGTTGAATTTGATATGTCCGTACTGCCTGTCACCATGCTACAATTATTCAATCTTGGGCCAGTGTTATTTTTCGTTTAAATATATTTTATTTCAGATGTAAAATTCTTAATCTGCCTGCGCAAACTTAATTTACACGAATAATGTGCAATTAAATAACGTGAACGCGCCTTTAAAATATCCAGTGATGTAATTATTATGTATGTTTCCATCATATTAGTATAAGTTCAAAAGATGGAATATTGAGTCACAATTTTAAATTGATTAGTTTGAATTTAATTCAAATAAAGGGGAAGATAAGATATTTTCATACTTTTTGAAAAAATCTTAATACTCATAAATTATGTATTCATTATCATAATTCATAACCGACTGAGCAAGGCAATGTCACGTGAGCGCTAAACTATGCATTCATACTTGTTAATAAAAAAGGATTTTTCATTAAAAGAAATATGTTTTATGAACAAAAAAGTGCTGAATGTATTTTCAGATTTTATACTGCTGAATTTCATAAATGCACCTATTATTTGTGAGTAGTGATTTTTCTTACCTAATATACAGTTGTTAATTATATAGTGACGGTATCTTGTCTTCCCTTTGTAATTTAATCGAAGCTTCTGAATTGTTAATATTTTGTAGACACTTAACTTTAGGGTTATGTCAACCCTAATTACGATTTTGGCAACCCTAATTACCTTAGAAAATGTATGAAGCCAATATCACTTGCCATTATTTAAGGTACCTATATATTTGTAAAATGGTTATTGACTGATTAAGACGTATTATTTTGCTGTGCACTTCAATGCAATCGCAATGGTGCAAACGAGATGCTACTGTACACGGGTTTATAGACGTCTTACATTTACAGTTGTATTGGTATCGCATTTAAGAGCACACAATAAGACCCTCGGACATTCACAGGTGCACATAAAGTGGGAAAATTCTGTAATTTATTTGAATTTAATTATCTAAAGATGTAAGCTTAAAATTGATTTCAAAAAAATAGTTGATGTGCATTCTATTCCACTATAATAAGCCACTAAGGAACCATCCATTGATTATTTCATACTAATTACATCATTTTTCAAATTATGAAATATTGTTCTAATGCGTAATTTTAGTAATTCATGGATGGCGTATAATATCTTGTGAATTAAACTCAATTATTTCTGTCCAAAGTAAAACTAAGCTGATAAAATTATATCACAACTGTAATCTAGGTATATGGATTATAAATAAGTCCATATCTTGATTCTGAATGTGTTTACGTTGAATTCTTTTATACCAGTCCATTGATTTTAGTTGATATATAAGTTGCATTCAAATACTAGTATAGTACACTAATAGACAAGCTGAAGTAAAAGATAACTACTTATGCTTTTAAGTATTAATCTGTCCATCGCAACCCTGACGATACGCCTCAACCAATGAGGTGCCAATAGTTAGTGAGCAACTTTTCGGATACTACCCTGCTTGTCTCTTCTTTTAATACCGTACCTCAAGTCCAATTGAAAATGACATCGCCATTTCTTTCTAGTTGGTTTGCATGCCATTTGAAGGGGGGCATGGGACTGCAAGAGTTGGTTGAATCAATATAAGGGTCGGTAATGGTTTTGTCAATGGGATAAGAATTGATAATCTAATGTTGAATTTATATTTGTATGGTTTACATGGATCCATGCCACATAAATAAACCCCAAGGTTCTAGGCAGTTGGAGACATGCAATTTTGGGTTTTATGTCCATAAACGAAGACTGCATTACCCGTGCGATCCTTATTGTTTATCAAATAGAAAGCAATACTTAGCGTGTACTGTAGATTTAAACTAGCTATTAAGGTTTTTGCTCTGTGTAACAAAAAAAAAAGTGCTGTGAAAACGTAAACAATAGCCGCCATTTTGTTAAGCCGTTGGTGTTGCCAACTTCTGTATTTACTACTATGCTTTAGTTATTTTTCTACCATTATATGTATATATGTTTTTTTATTTTCTATTTCATGTAACCAGTGAAGGTTACAAAAAATAAATTGCTTAGGAATCAGGACATTCTAAATCTATGTTTTTATGTAAATAAGAACAATATTTGTTAAGGTGCAGTTTGATGATTTTTCTTTATATCACGAATCAAAGAGCATTATGGTTGTGTATTTAGGTGAATTGATTAAATCAGTGAATGTTTGTTGATTGGTGGACTAGCATGTACTTTTTAACTGATTCTCATGTCTCAATACGATATTGAATTTATACTTAATAATATTAGCTTTAGTCTTGTCTAGGAAAAAAATCGTCTAAAGTATTGATTGTATGATCAGTTAAAAAGTTAGCAAGCATCTAGAATATAATGAAATTATGCAGTAGGATTTTAAATTTGACATTTATTTATTGCATGATAATAAATTGCTTAAAAGGTATATTTTTGCGAAAGGATCTGTATATTTTTTTTACAGAAATTGTTTGACTGAGAATCTTGTGTATGGAGCCCAAGGTAAACAAAATATTTCCGAAAAATACCTACGTGTTATTTGAAATGTTACTGCATTTTAAAGTAACAGTTCTGTAATGAACTAAGTAATAAACAAAACACTTAGAGATTTACTATTTGTGTAGAACAATCACTTTGTTTAAATAATTGGAAAAATATTTTTCAAATGTAATTATTAGCTTGGGCAAAATTTGAAAATTATTTTTCAATTCAGGTTCTTTGATATAAATTAGGACTTGTGTTTTCAGAAGATTTTGTTATTGTAAATTTATAGCGAATGCTTCAATTTATGAATAGGGTACCAACGGTTTGGTATAGATGTTTTAAAATCTGCCGGGTCTAAGCGCATTACTTCAATATCAACTGCGGAGTGGATATGATTTTTGAAGATCACTCAAGTAGTTAGTAGTTTCACGTAACTAGTTGAGGTCCATATACATCAAGCGCAATCAATACTAGTTTCACAATCTTACGTAATAGGGTTGCTATTTAGAATTCATCTAGATTGACTCTTCGGACGATGTTCAGCTCGAAAAAGAAGGGAATATCTCGACCAAAATGAAATAATAAAAAACATTAATAAATCAATAAAGATTTTGCTTGGCTGAAGCAGCCAATTAAATTATTCCGTTAACATTTTTTTTGCTCATAATTATTTTTTTCCTAGTCTCAGAAGAATGAAAGTATTTTTGTCACCAGTTATCGCGGTTTTGAAATTTTATCCTGATATTTCGTCTACACATCTGGACAGCCCACTCCAACTATAACTCAAACTTTAACTGAACATTAAAAGCATAAATTCGATTGACAACAGTATGAAGTTTATTTAGTGACGCTTAAGACCCGCTTATAATGTCGTGAGTACCCTATTTTTAATTTAAAGCTGTAAGGACATACTATCAGCTCTTAGATGCGTCTAAGAAGTAAATTAGAGTGAGACAACACTGTGTTAACACTAATAGAGATGATGCATACTTTTTGTCTGTTCGTCGGTTAGATTCTGAAAGAATGATAATCACGTATTTTTTATTTATTTCGTAATCAATAAATTACGGCGATACATTGAGTTAAAATGTCGCACGACGTCACACCTTTGTACATTTTCTACACAGTTGTGACGTAGCGAGCGTCTACTCGCCAACTTTAAAGTTTATTATCTAAGCAATTTCTTATTAAATTGAAGCAAAAAAGAAATACGTATCATATATTTTTCTATTATCAGAGCGCTTAGTGTAAGTTTTTTTGACGTTTACGTTCACTGTCGATTGTGAGCGCGTTAAGATTTTAGTATGGAATTCCCTAGCTTAACGCGCTCACTAGTGAACGCGTTAACGTAAAACTTACACTTACCACGCTGACTGACAGACTAAGGACTTTTTTTTTACTCAGGCATCATCTCTACTCCGCTCACAGGTTTTTGTTAGATCGCTTCTAAGATCTGATTGACCCAGTCCATCGAGGATGATAATGTCTCGTCATTTCCATGTAAGAACTATTCAGTAATTTTTTTTCGTTTGTTCAAACTGTATTTCATATCAACATTGACGATTATATGAAAAAAAAAATGTGTGGATGGCAGTTTTTGGTAATTATATCGAGTAATTCTAATCATATTATGTGGTTTAATTTTTTTTAATACCCATTACCTTTTCCTATTGTGATAGGTATTTTTTATAATTTATTATGCACACTATATTGCTAATTGTATGATATTTTTTATAATGTTAGCGAGAACATGATAATTAAATGAAGATCTATTAAAAATGACGTAATAACTTTTGGAGATCGGATTCTTCTAATAAATATTTAATAAAATGACTTAAACATGTTCTAGGACGCATTAGTTTATTTTTAAAATTTTAGAAGTTTCTATAACTTAATCACTTAGAATAGAAACGAAAATATATACATAATAAATATAATTTACATTAAAATTTAAAAAATTCCAATAGTATTTAAGCCTTAATATGTAAATAATTAAGTTTAAAATCGATTGAAGGGACCTTTGTATTTACAAAGACAGTTTAACTCAACTTAAGACACTCTAAAACATTAGGTATAGTATCGCTCTTATATTTACATAACATTCTCAGTAAATTAAGTTTTTTCTCGTTAGTCTTAGACGACTCCAGCTCGTATAAAGTGCAGAGATTTACTAGTAGACTTTCGTTTAAACCACGCTCTGGATCGGAATTAATAGCCTTCTGGAGAACAGCTATGGCTTCTTTTAGACGACCCATGTATAAAAGACATACGGCTATGTTGTTCGCTACCTGTAGTCAAAATCATTTCGATTAATCCATCTATTGTTAAACAATATTTAACATTGAATCAAAAAAGAAAATTATTTAAATTGCTCTATCAGGGGTATTCAACCCTTTTCGCAGTCTAGCCAAATATTAATATATTTTAATTATGCGATATTCTCAGGTTGTAATGAAAATTAAAAAATATTTATTATTAGATAATGAGCTCGATGACTCAATGATTAGCGCGTTCCTGCGATGCGGAAATTAAGCAACTTTTGCAAATTTTCGATTACTCATGACCGGCATAGGATCAGTAATCGAAAATGTATTATCTCGAATACTTTCGTATTTCGGAATGCACGTTTAGCCGTTGGTTTTGGCTGCATATATGCAGGTGGTTGCACCCACCTCCCTATTTTGGTCACGTTATATATATCGTGTATCTATACGTTATTTTTGACACAAGCTCACAATATATAGGGAAGACCTTTGCCCCAGCACTGGGGATATTAATAGGCTAGTTATACAATGCTTATTACTTTACTCTTTGCCCACTACTCTCTGAATGACGTTTATGAAAAAAACTGTTTCCTACATATGCCAGTGCTAAAATTTGGTAACAAAAGTTACAGTGATTGGTCATATTTAATTAAAAACTTTTTATTTCTATTATCTTTATGATCACACTCATAGCATACCATGATATTAGTAGGCTCCTGGTCGGCTGCTTTCACGAAATTATTATAAGCTTCTTGATATTTCCCATTAGCTATTTCCACAAGACCCATGTCCACATACTCCCTCACATCCGGCGTAGGACATCTGTAATGTATATAGTTATATGCACAATCAATTCCAATTAGTACTCCTCCGAATTAACATGACGCCTGAAGGCCTATTTTATTTCTCCGAAAACATATTTTTTTCTATTTTCAAAGTGCTAATATGTCTCGAAAGAAATGCATTTTTCCATAATTTATGATGTAATGGGGATAGGATCAGACACTGCCTTTAATGCAGAGCAGAGCGACCCCCTAATGGCTCGTTTACACACTTAATGAAGTATATAAGTAGTAAGTAGATTTTAAACTTGAGTTAAAGTGATCAAGTACGTGTAAATACACAACTACGAAATAGGTACAAGTTAATATTTAATTCTAAACTCATAAGTAGATAACCTTCTAACTTGTTACTTATTATCTATCAGTGTGGTAACATGTATTTAATAACTTAAGCTTAGCACTATTACGTTTCATTTTACTACTTCGATATGTACTTTAATAAAGACTAACGATTAATAAAGAACGATTAATATGGATTAGATAGCAGTGTTTCCAATTTGGTTATTTATCCTCCAAAAGACATGGCAAAGTAGTGAAATAAAACAAAATATCGTCATAATATCAGCATCGGATCTTGGGGCCAAGTGGGGACACTTTCCCCGCCAGTGTCAGGGGGACCAAAATTATGATGAAGGGCACAAGATCCGGGCCCGTATGGCAAGAGTTATATCAAATTACAGTAAGGCGGTCGCTCTGCTCTGCATCGGAGGCAGTGTCAGCCCCCATAATCTGTATCTCTGGCAACTTTTGATAAATTATCAAGTATCAAAATGAAGTTCAGTGGAGAATTACTGATAGAAAATACGAATAGGTGATTTTTACAGATTGGAGTAGATCACTTTTTATAGTGATTACGATTTTAGGTTCTCAGTTGAGTTAGCGATCAGGCAAAATTGTTTCGGTGCTTGTAATAGACAAATTATAAATTGCAAATTAAAATAATAGTACATTATTATTGTTTTCGTGTAAGTTACCATTCCAATATATTTCATAATCAAGTAAAGTAGTCAATTCGAAATACATCTGTGTATCGGGATATTAATATCACCAATTACGATATATCGTATGGATCTATAGAAAATACTTACATGCTATATAAAAAAATTAAGTCAACTCACAGATGGTGTCTCGATTCCATCGCATCGTTTAGATGAGCCAATGCTGCCTTGATGTGGCCTGCTAATAACCATAATCTGCACAGGGCACTGGATATAGCCCGCTTCTGTCCAGGGGAACTAGCCTGATGCTGAAGACTAGACAGGATCTTACCAGCAAGGCGATACTCCTGATGATGGTTATATATGGCTGGTTTACACGTAATGAAGTAGTAAGTAGATTTATTACTTAATTTTAAGTGATTAAGTACGTGTAAACACACAAAAAAGTAAGTAACTTAAACAAGGGGTTAATAAAATTTTAACTTGCTACTTATTACTTAGGCATTCGTGTGTTATGAAACGATAATATATGCCATTATATGAACTATACTGTAACAGTGTTATTAATAAACAAGGTTTTTAAATTCGTGTAATATTATAGATAAAATTGTTGTTTTAAACTCTCATGGTCACTAACATTGTTACTTATATTCTTAGTGCTATTAATAAACAAGGTTTAGTCAGAGTAAATTTACGCATAAATTGCAATTTGCCAAATTCATATTATACAGAGAAGAAGCAAACGTATTACCTTCTAGGAGTAAATATTACTCACGTAGAACCTCGTACTAGGTTAACCTTTGTTAAGAATTTGTTTAATAATATTAATTTTGAGTAATACTGAGTGCAGTCTCAGCGTCAATTTACTCCAACGCTAAACCTTGTTAATAACACTGCTAGAGTTTCCAATATTTTGGCGCTGCGCAAGCGCCATGACCACTAAGAAAAGTTTTTGCGGGTAGGTGTTGGCAGATATATCGATCTACCTTCTTTCGTCCTTATACGTTCCATACCCGTACCACTGTTCACTATATCACCAATAATGTACATAGGTATATGTATCTGACGAAATGACACATTTGTTATTTTTCTTCTGGTTTTGATTTTGGCTTCGGAGCCAAAGAAGATACCACCACACCCAGACACGAGACAGTATAGAAAAGTTCATATTCTCAACACGATCGGGGACCGAATCCGGGACTTCGGAGATGGGCACAACTTAAATCGGTGGGCGTCAAAGATTATTATTAGATAAATATACAAATCAGACCTTTAAAGCTATAGCGCAGTTCACAATGGAGTGTTGCACCCTTGTCTCTCTCCCGGTCCATAAACGAATTGACTCTATTTTGTCTTGCTCTGATGCAAGTGTTTCTGTACCGTCTTCTGTTTTGCCACTACGTAGGTTTGACAGCATCTAGATAATAATAATACTTTATTATAAGCACCATAGGTTAGTGGTACATGAACCATTAATGATAAAAACCAAACCAAAATACCTAAAAGCATCTCATTTTATTGATATATAGATACATGAAATGTATAAGTAGGTATAATAATATAATTAATACTTTTTTTAATCCCCCCCCCCCCTCCCGTCAGCGGAGATTAAAAGATTCAGAACCACTGCCATAGATGTACAATACATGAATTTATTAAATTAAACATAACATAAAGTGTAGTGTAAACATTAGACATCACATACATTCCTCATATGCCAAATCCAGTAATATTGTCCGAAACAACTATAGTTCTACAACACCCAGACCAAGACAATAAAGAAAAGATCATTTTCTACATTGATCCGATTGGGAATCAAACCCGCGCGCTCCTAGCAATGCCGATACCATAAAAAGAATATAATAAATATATAACGGACCATAAAAACTAATTTTTTGCGTTTTTTATGCTAATAAACTGTAAACCAAAGAAAGTTATGCTAAAATATATTATTACAATTAAGAACATTTCGGTAATTCTACCTGTTGTATGACGTGTCTCAGTGCTAACAGTCTGTCCATTGCCTCTTCCGGCTTGCCAGCATGACCGGGCAGTTCAGCTACCAGTAACCTCAGTGAGAAAGGCACTAGACTGCCGCTTCTGTTCCCATATGTGTCCGGGTAAAACTGGCGAAAACAATCAGTTAAAAATATCCGCACGAATTGACTAATATATTTCATTTTAACTATATAAATAATATATACATAAATAGGTTTTTGATATGATCAGAAGGAGGCTAAATTAAAAAAAAAACAAGTATTCTTAATCGATGAAACCAATCCATCCAGGAATCCGTACTGGGTCCGCGTGGTGGACCCGATGCGGATATTTGGGGTACTAAGTAAGTAGTAATGTTCAGTAACGCTTTATTTTGTGACCTTGACCTACGTGCGATCACTTAGGTTTCCTACTTGCGACAGTATAGAAAATACGGTGCACACATACGACCGTGAATGTAATTATGTTGTCGCTCATTTTTTTTATGAGTAGTTTATAAAAACTGATGAAACGTAGATTATGAACGGGTCTGACGCAGAACGTGCACTTCGCAAAATGTGCACTTGACAAAAAATGCGCTTTTCGCATTTGGTGCACTTCTCAAAATGGGCACTTCGCAGAATGAGCATTTCGCAGAATGAGCATTTCGCAAAATGAGCACTTCGCAGAATGAGCACTTCGCGGAATGAGCACTTTTTGTGGAAGTTTTTAATTAATAAAAAAGAAATGGGTACTGCACATACGAAACCCTGTTTTATTAAAATTATTGAATATTTTTAATTGACAATCAAAACCTAGTGGACTTAATTACTTTTTAAATAAATGATTACGTTGTAAAAGTGTTTATTTGATTTTAAATACGCAGTACCCATTTCTTTTTTATTAATTAAAAACTTCCACAAAAAGTGCTCATTCCGCGAAGTGCTCATTCTGCGAAGTGCTCATTTTGCGAAATGCTCATTCTGCGAAATGCTCATTCTGCGAAGTGCCCATTTTGAGAAGTGCACCAAATGCGAAAAGCGCATTTTTTGTCAAGTGCACATTTTGCGAAGTGCACGTTCTGCGTCAGACCCTTATGAACCACGTGAAAAATGGCAACAATCGTGTACATTTCATTTTGCAGCACTTCTATGCGACACAGAAAGATCATTTTTAATAATCAAACTTTGAAAAAAAAAACGTAAATGGAAAATGAAATCCTGATTCGAATTTCTATAGAATATATAGTTTCACAAATCTGACATATATTTTACGCTCGGGGCCGAAATCGCTCGAACTCCTCCAGAATACACGGTCCCGGCTGCACCAGCAGTTGTTAATACAAACCAATCTGCATTTTACCAGCGTGGAGGGTTCTCTGTATTCGATTCGATTCCATCTATAGAGTAAGCCGAAGTCCCATTACATTGTGGTGGGAACATTAATAGAATGGTGATGATGATGAGGATAGCCCTTAAATACCTGGTAGAACATATCAGGTTTGCCGAAATCCCCGAACGGCTCGGCCTCTTTGAGCAGAGGCTCGTGTAGTTTCAATCGGAGCATCACCGCGAACCTTGTCAGCCACAGCTGTAGAGTACGAGGAGTATGTTTGGTAGCGCGATGCATACGACCCGCACCTGAGCATACATTAAGCCGAATTCACTTTACGAAACTACCTTCGTGATGGCGTACAATCCAACAGTACCTCTGATACAATGTCAGTGTCAACATCGAACTTTTACTATGCGGTAATGGTGTCGCGACAGTAGTATAGCTTAAAGCCCAAACGACGTCTTAATCTCGACCCGAGAAATGTGACATTTGGGTATAGACAAAACGTTCCTGAGTTTGTCATGTTACGCTTACTGGCAGAGACCCGGGAAGCAATGAATGAGTTGGCAAAACACTCAGCCCATACCCAAATGTCTTTTTATTTATGACATTAACGTTTTTATTTGCCACAGCCTTACCATACCTTTCGAGGTATGACCCAATTTATTTTTTAAAATAAATATCAATACAACATTATGAATTCTAAACGGATCGGATATTATACATTACTTTTTATTTTACTCTGTAGGTTGTTTTCCATTATATATTCATCAATTGTGAAAACCGATATTGACGATTCTTTTTTTTTATTATTTGAAAAGGTATTCTCTCGTGGAGTCAAATTTTCATCGACAGTTTCTTTCTAAATATGTAAATTAAAATTAGTAAATTTACACCTCGTTTGCCACAGAAAATTGTAATATAAAACTGATTCTTTTCTTACATAAAAAATACTACAACTTCCAAAAATTTCAAAGTAACACTCAAAAACAAAAAAGGAGGTTAACAAATGCGAGACACTTCATTTTAAGTTTAGTTATTTAGATTCGATAAGTGTTTTTGTAGCTTTTAAGAATATTTTTTTAACCCTAGCTGGGTTTGACCGCCTAACTTAAAGCCATAGCCAAATATATATTATTGTTCGAACAATATATATATTTGTTCGAATATTATAAAGAAAGATAAAAATGCATTGCATAGGATAGGCTACGAAACTATTGGATCGATTTTAAAAAATATTTTAAAACGCGGGTGATAAATATATATGTCAGTACTATCATTTAAGAACGGCGACTTCACGAGAAAACAAGTTAACTATATATTATACACACACATAATTAACAATTTTTCTTTGTAACTTCATATACCGAGCCTGACATTTTGATATATCACTTTTCACTAAGTAGATAAATTTTGCCATTGGGTAGTGGATCATAATCTTAAAAGTAAAAGTAACTTAAAATATCTTCTTTTTAAGTATTTAGTATTATCAAACCAATGCGAGCGTGGAGGCTCCGGCTGTATCGTCTCACGCCATATACCTTTGTATTCTGTAATGTTTTCAAAATATTCATCCCAATCATCAAAACGCCTGTTTCAATACTTTGAACTTTTGATGTGATGGACCATTAATTTCTGCTGCTTTAGTAATAATAGCATTGTGAAATGCAATAAATAAATAAATAATATGGAACCGCGAGCATAAAATCTGGATATTCGATTTCCTTTGAAACTCCACTGAAATCCAAACAGTGATGATTTTCTTGCACATACCACATTTTAACCGAAGAAAAAACCGAGAACGCAATTGAGTCGACAAATAAGATTAATTTCAAAGTGGAAATCGTAAATGTCACGTATACTTCATTTACTATAAAGCGGTGTCAACATAACATCGGCTAGTTCGAAATAAACAATTTTGCAACTACCTACCTTCAACTTTAAATATATCACAAGCGCAAAATTAGAAATCAAACCACGTTTGGAAAGTATTCTTTTAGAGAATCTATGTATGAATGAAATGAATGTTCGCCAATGAAATTCCGCACTGATCTTTGTCACTTATCATTTTTGTCAAATGAACATTGAACATTGAAATGAAAATTCAGGCTCTTACATGAAGGGCACCATAAACCATCTCCATGTGTATACTTTTACAAATTGAGCGATATAAATGAATAGCTAAAACGTCACTAATTTTTCAAAACAAACATTTCGTACCAAAAATTATTTTGTAGGCAAAAAATATAAAACAAAGAATGCATGTTGTTTCATAAAACGCTCGATAGATGTCAGTATACAAATTTCAATCGCGGTATTATTATTGCCATTTGATCTTTATAAAAGTACGTACGTTCGTTAAGCAAGTTTTGTGGTTACAATGGAATAAATATTTTTTTTATCTTGGCAGGGTTACGATACCTCAACGGATCGTGACCTACATTACAGAATAAAAACTTTAAACACTTTTAATTTATTATCGTACTTCCTAATCGTATTATTCGTTCTTATTATTTCAATAAGCTTCATCTTATTAGAAAAAATATAAAAAACCTGGCCAAGTGGGTCAGAATCGCGCACGAAGTGTTCCGTATATAAATTGCAAAATCACGTTCGTTGTATATTTTATTGTTTTTTTAGGATTTGTTGTTATAGCGGCAACAGAAATACATCATCTGTGAAAATTTTATCATGGTTTATGACATACAGTTTCGTTCCACATCCATAGTGGCTCAACTATAGAATAAGTATAAAGTAATTTAAAGTAAAAAATTAAAAACATCTGAAATCGTCCTAATAAATTTATTTTAGACTTCACTTAGATATTCAAAGACGTTTGTTTTAAATATATAAAAATTAATTGCCGAAATGTATGTATGTGTGTATACGTGCATAACTTCCGAAAAATCGTACGTTTTTTTATATGTTCCTTACTGTCAGGACAAGGTTTGCATATTAAAAAAATCAACTCTAGCGATCCGGGCGACTGCTCTAATCGCAGAGCTTGCCAGGACCTAACACGTCTGACAAATTTTTCAAGCACTTGTTACTTCATCGCTACACGCATATTTTCATCAATGTTCAGGCAATCCATCCAAACTGCCGAAAGAAATATTTTTACAAACATTTAAACTTTCGATAAAGATGAAAATTTGTGCTAATTATTATATTTTATCAATTTTGCATTCACGATGCTATACTGGAAAATATTCTTAATTTCTAAAAAAAAAAAACTATACTCCATTCATTATAACATTAGAAAAAAGAGGGTCATAGAAGCAGCAGTGCGGAACATTTTATTTTCAAGATAAATTTAAAAAATATATTTTAATTTTTTGAAACTTTGAACGTTAGGTAGTCTGAAAGAGCTGGGCAATTTTCCATTTTTTATGATACCTCGGGGTTGAGATGAGGTCAGCATTTTATAGATTCATCTTTTAGTCCCAAGCCAACATGCAACTAAAACTGAAACTATCTGTCTGTTGTTTTGATAAATTCTAATTGTATGTGTAATTAGTTAGACTATTGATGAAGACATTGGAAAAACTCCCTGAAATGTCAAAGGTTGAGGGTAGGTATCGGTAATTTTTGTAGGCCACTCGGGCCTGCATCGGCATCGTTCATATTTACCAAAACTTAACAACAAAAACAAAACAACAAGAAAGGCAGTAGCATTCACAATGGATGACAATCCCAGATTACGATTTTAACAATTATGAATAAATAATAGTCTGACAAAATTAAAAAGTTGAAAGGGGGTTAGGCAACGTTTTAAAGGGAATTGTTCAATTTTGGCTTTTGGTGAACAAGCTAATTAGTAAAAACTATGTAAACAGTAAAATATTATTAAAACTGAAAAAAATATTTTTAATACTCTCGTCATGGGAAACTTAACATTAAAAATATCATTTTTAAAAGTATTTTTTGGATTCGGATATGTTTTGTTGACATGTTTCACTGTGTTTCCATATCAATAAATGTTATTGAAGTACTATTACTAATAGTATCGATTAATCGATAAGTTTTAACTCTAATAAAAATGAAAGTAATTAAAGTATATATATATTATATATATATATATATATATATATTATATATATATATATATATATATATATATATTAATACATACATAGTGGGTAATCTTTTGCAATATTATGTATTAAAAACGTTACAAATAATCCTTTTCGGTTAGATATATAAGTTGATTTACAAATCAATCGAATACTTTTAATCGATAAGAGATTTTTATATGGCAGTACCATTTCACTTTTGTCAACAAAGACGTTTGAGTAATAAATCTTATTCGGCTAGGTTATGTTTTGTTTTTGTTGTTATTTTCTATCAAGAAGAAAAAGACCAATTTATTTCGGTTTGCATTGATAATGGACTCCGATACCTCTCGAAATTATGACCCGGCTATACCTCTGGACACCGAACCAAACACAAGTAGTGGACATCGTCGGCAGCTTTGTATAAATTGTGGAAGATCTATATTACATACTAGATCACATCTACTGCAAACAATATATGACAGAGAAACACACATTAGAAATGTAATTATTGATTGGAAATCCCCACGACTGGTAGGATTATAGTTATTTTTATTTATTATGATTACTATAATAAAGCTTCCTTTATGAAAAGTAAAACATTAATATATCGCTGCCATATTGTTTAAGTAACATTTTGTTGACAAATAATTTTATAATATATAATTCTCTTTTAGGTGCATGGATCTGATAGCATCTGTCATTTGTTGGCAGTGAGCGGACAGAGTAACAGTTCCTTCTAATATTCCAGTCTACCTACACAGACCATTACCTTACCGGATTCTAAAAGAGCATCTGATTTACAAGCATATTGTTTTGTTCCGGGTTGTGACTCACCACAGCGACTGACAGTTTCCACATGGCTTCGAATAAAATTGTTTGTTGATTTTAACTTTTATGTACCAAAAACCAGTAGGCTGTGTAGTTCTCATTTATATTATAATAATTGGACTGAATGGTTGTCTATCATGCAACTAATTCATACATTTACTACAGAACATATACAAGATTTTGTATTATTTGTTAAAGAAAGGAATCTTACAATGGTTTTTAACAATATTGAAGGAATGCCTGAAGACATTGTGCACTTTTGGATAGGTCTGTCTTAACTTCAGTTAAAATCAAATTCCTTCCTGGGTTATCTGAGATGCATATTGGGGAGTTAGGGCTTGTTGCTTATTTAATTAAACTAAGAACTGGGGATAATGATGAGAGAATATCAACTTTATTAAATATACCTCATTCAATGTTAAAAAAACTATTAGGAGCACTTTGTGAATTACTAAATGTTGAATTTGTTTCTCATAATTCATTAACCACCGGAATGCCAGCCTCCAGCTGAAGAGAAACTGTATGAGCAGTGTAATTTATTTATTAAGTGATATTGTAAAGTCTTTTCTTATAAATAAGTGTATTTACTGTCTTTTGCAATTGTATTTTCAAATTAAAGGTAAATATGTGTAAATCTACAATTTCTTTATTTAACCATCTCTGTTTGTTATTTCTAACATAAATAAATTAATATGATGATAAGGTAATTAAAGTATTTTACAAAAAAGAACTTTATCGTTACATCGTTTATGGAATACTACACATGCTTATATATATACAATGTTAAACTTTCCCATGAAAATATTACAATAGTAAACTTCTTTAAGACATGAAATATTAAAAAATAATGTTTTTTATAACTATAGATAATGTCCACTCAAAGCCAAAGTGCCCATACAAACTGAACAATTCCCTTTGGTAGAGTTATAGTGACATGAGAATCGTGCCGAAACTATCTAACCCTGATTCTTTAGGCTCTTTACGATGGACACTTTTTATTGTAATAGCTATTAAATCATGTAAGTTAGTTATATACTCTTAAATTTGTTTAATAGATAGCTTAAATGACAACAGTAAAGTATAGCAGCTGGTATTTAAGTGGATATGTAGCAAATAAGCCGTCAGTCTTAAAATTAACATGATTATTGATATTTTGTCACAAAGTATACTATAAAAAGAACCTTATTTAACTTCTGTCTAATGCTATAATGAATGGAGTATAGGTGACTAGTGAAATAAAATAGATATGGCGGTACGAAGTTCGCAGTTCAGCTAGTTTTAAATAAAAACTTAAATAGACATTTGGATAATATTAAAAAGAAATCTTTCAGTGGCTTATTAAAAACTGTGAAAATTTGTATATTGTAGCTTTGGACTATTCCATGTAACAAATTTAAGTCGACCCCTTAAATAGAGCGACGAAAAAAGCGATACCATGTAATCTAAGAAGTGGTGACAAAAAGCAGCCGGGGCCAACGGCTTAACGTGCCTTCCGAAGCACGGAGTAGTTCGAAATAATAATTTTGGTCACCCATCCCGTGACCGAACTTTTGCAAAGTTGCTTAACTATGACGATCGCGGGCCGCGGCACGTATTCACTGCGTCACCAAGTAGGGAATCCAATCTCGTCCACGCGAGATCTCGTCCTTTTTAGCGAGATTGATCTTGGTCGAAAAATGGGCGAGATCTCGCGAGTTTAACGAGGTTGCACTCGAGCATAAAAACGATCTATTTTAAGTGCGGCAGCGTGAATTTATGCGAGTCCGTTTTCGAAAGGGTCTTCTCAGTAGCTGGTTATCTGGCCAGCACGATAATAAGACGAATAGCAAAGAGTCTTTGGACATTTTGTGCTTCTTAAAAAGCTACTTTAAAAATTATTTGTAATAATGACACGTGATGCGAGTCAAATAAGCCTTGAAATTGATTGGTATATTTTGTTAATTTATTCTCTAATTTCTAATAGAGCATAGGGTACACATAGTTTTCTTTCATTGATAATAATCTCAGTTTAATAGTAAATTCAACTTAGGTAATGAGTTAAATTTTAGTGTTTGTATTTTTGTTATAAAAAACTGTATTGATCTCGGTCGAAAAATGGGCGAGATCTCGCGAGTTTAACGAGGTTGCACTCGAGCATAAAAACGATTTATTTTAAGTGCGGCAGCGTGAATTTATGCGAGTCCGTTTTTGAAAGGGTCTTCTCAGTAGCTGGTTATCTGGCCAGCACGATAATAAGGCGAATAGCAAAGAGTCTTTGGACATTTTGTGCTTCTTAAAAAGCTACTTTAAAAATTATTTGTAATAATGACACGTGATGCGAGTCGAATAAGCCTTGAAATTGATTGGTATATTTTGTTAATTTATTCTCTAATTTCTAATAGAGCTTAGGGTACACATTTTCTTTCATTGATAATAATCTCAGTTTAATAGTAAATTTAACTTAGGTAATGAGTTAAATTTTAGTGTTTGTATTTTTGTTATAAAAAACTGTATTGAAATAGCGTCGGCGTGGTAGGGAGAAATGATACCAACTCGGCATTTTTATAAAATAAAAAAATAAACTTAATTAAATCGATTTACCGCCTCTGTAAGCCCCCGCATACTTAATGTCATAAAAATTGTTGGAGCCATTTCCGAGATTATAATACAGTAATTGTTATTTTAAAGATTTTAGTTAAAAAAATATAATCGCCTCAAATCAAATCAAACTTTATTGAAAATACTCGTGAAAATAAATGTTAATTTCATAATGCCTATAATTCCTATATTTTTTCTTAATTTATTCTAATATTGCGATTTGAATAAATATTAAAGTAAAACAGTAAACACACAAAAGTGCCAATCTCGCGAGATCTCGTAATTGGCGAGATCACGCGGTATTGATATTCATAAACTCGCGAGATCTCGCTCGAATCCCAATCCCGCGAGATTGCATTCCCTACCACCAAGCTACTCAGCAATGGTAACAATTGGAAAAACTAATCTTATTCAACGTTATTACCTTGTCCGGCTGCGCTTAGTAAGACAGCGGTCAGGTTGACAGCGGCGCGCAGGTATCCAGTCCGCAGTAACTCTCTGAGCCCCGCTTCGTCCCTGCTCACGTGTTCCGCCCGGACTACGCCCCTAGAGCCAGCTGAACTAACACCCAGATATTTCACCGCCACCTCTTGGAGTGCATCCGCCTGTGTAACATGTGAATTTTAGCTTTGAAGTAAGTCACTAATCTTGACATGTCAATTTATTATAGGGTGCCAACCCCCATTGGGGGCTGGGTGTACAGTAATCTCTGTTGGATCCCACGTCCTTCCGCCAAAAGTGAGGGAGCATTATATAGGGTTTAGTGAGTTTTCCATCAATGTTTTGACTAGCCTTCGGGCAGGTCTGTGTGGATGGAGATTTCCACACATCTCCAATCGCCTCTCAAGCGGCAGGGACTGTGCATAAAGCATTCCCCTTACGACAAAAAAGAGTTGCCAACCCTAACTTTCAAAGCAGGATGTAAAGTTAAAAAGCCAGGACGACTAACTTAAAATTAACAAATTTCTCCAGTATCTTCCTTGGGTCAATATTATTGTTATGGACAATAGAAGCACGACCGTGCAGTAGTTAGCATGTTCGTTCTGTGATGCGGAGGCTAAGAAACTTTCGCAAGGCCTAGCCATAGGATGGGTGACCAACAACTTATTATCTCATGCTCCTCACTCAGCAGGCATATTAAGCTGTTTGTCCCAGCTATATCTGCAGGTTTTACCACCCACCAATGCACACTAGGCCTATGTAATGGGTCATGTCCTGCACTCCAGCAGTGTGGACATAATAGGTTGGTGATTAACAATACATACCAATTCTTCTTCTAGAACTAGTCCAGGCATAGTTAACGCTTCCCGTTCTGGGAAGAATGATCCGTTTGGAGATGATTGTGCCTATAAAAAAGAAAAGTGTTAAAACAAATTACAGACACTACCAAATATGTCAAATCAAATCCAAATCATTTGTTCAGTCTAGTCTGTTACAAGCACTCGTGAAAATTCATTGACGGTGGAAACAAAATATGTTGTAACCCACCAAATCAAAATTGATCTTTAGAGCAAATGTTACTTATTTTTTCAACATAAAAAAATCTTATAAGCATTGAATGTTTATAAGATTTTTTGTTAGGTAACAAATATGGTATCCCTTATTTGATTAATATGAAAAAAGAAATTATTTTTTAAATAAAAGGTTATTCTACTCTGAAGAATAAAATTGGGTTTACAGGTTACTAGGTGTTTGATGTCCAGGACTGACATGTAGTTTTTGAAGAATAAGTCTATAGTATTAGTATTACCACCACTAATACTAGTACTTAAGGAAACTAATTGACACAAGGATCTGTCACAGGATGGCTGACCAAAAAATTATTATCTCAAGCTACTTTGTGTTCTGAAAAGCACATTAAGCCAGAGGTTCTGGCTACATTTGCATTTGTTAGTACCCTCCAATCTGCATTGGACTAGCATGGAGGGTCATGGAACTTCCTCCTTAACTATCCATATGAAAAGCCTTAGTCCCTGAAGTGGAGACTTAAAAGGGCTGATGATGGTTATATTTGATCAATTTTGTGTTAACGGTATAGCATTATTGATAATATTTTAATGAAAGATTCTTAAAAAATCTAAATGGATTTTTTTATTAATAACATTTTCTATACAGTTATCCTTTGTACATTGGTAACCCAAAATAACCGTATCTTATTTGAAATAAATATGGACTAAATATTCCAATCAAAATTTCTTGATGTTTAATTAAAGCAAGATTAATTATAGTATACCAAAAAAAAAATACCTTAAGAAGGGTTTTTTGAGCTTCCTCATTAGGTAACCAGGCATCCCTTCTTCTTTGCTCTTCTTTGTCAACAGGTTGATTCTAAACAAGAAATAAACATAAGGTATAAGACATGTTAGATTAAAAAATAAGAATATATGATTAATCTATTTATGATTATCTTAAATGAAAATTAATTAGTCATCTAATAAAAATTACCTTTATACTTAGTCCATCCATTGCTTCTGATAATGTAACTTGATTTGTAATGTTATTTTTGTTTGTGCTTATTTGTGGTTCTGGTCCTATGGTATCAAAAAAAGTTGATGGATCTGGCAGATTCTTAGTCGGAACCGCTGTAGATACAGAAACGGTAGGTAATACGTTCAAAAATGATTCCTGTGATCCATTTGGTTGTACAAAGGACGTGGTCATGTTATGTGGAAATAGATCACCAGTACCTTGATTAACTAAAAAGAATTGTTTTACATGAAATATATTACCAAAAAAAAAAACAATATATATTATAATGTATTTTATATGGGGCTACCTCCACTATCACCTAAATAAACACTTTGAATCATATCCGATGGCGAAGTACCAATTTCATCAAAAAATTGTGAAGCAGGAGGAACTTCAGAGTCGCCAAAGTATTGGCTAAGAGATGGTTTATCCATTTCAAAAATACTTATGACTCTTATTGTGTATTTTAAGTATTCTTTCTTTTATCTTAAAGCATCCAGTTTCTTTTTAAGTTGTTTTATGGAAGATATTTATTGCGATTCGATAGCAATTTCAATTTTTTCACGCAATTCTGAAAACTATTTTGATATTTTATTCCATCCATAACAATTTGACACCATTTATTACAAAGTACTCTTTGTTGACACCTAAGATTTGATACCGTTCTCTATGGATTTGACACAGACCACAATACAATTGACAGCTATGAGCTATTCCGGATTCCAGTTATTCCAGATCCAGAGAGTTAGGGCGCTTGTGCACTACACTGAATTTTCATGTCCGGCGGTCCAATTTTTTGAGGTCCGATATGTCAGGCCATATGTAGGTAATGCGCGCTTGTGCACTGTCAGGAATTTTACCGTCCGGAATTTTACTTTTCTCTATTCCGGACCGGTTTTTTCATGTCCGTGATGGCGGCAATGAAAAACGTGTTTACGCTTGTGCACTGCTGTGTCCGAGATCCGAAAAATTCATAAGGAATAGGCTTGGGGAAAATAATCGATTTGAATCGATATTTATTTTATTATTGTTGTTTATTGTTAATTTCCAATAAACTTATAATCGATATTTATTGTTGATTATAAAATGATATATTTTATATGATGATTTAATATAGTTGGTATATATCACTGCATATGCTTTGGCAAACTCGATATAGTTCTAATTTGATCAGCATATGGTTCTAGTATCTATACTTAGCTAGATTTTAGAATCGTATTAAAAGTATCGATAGCTTAAGTAAGATAAATAAGTGTTGTTACGTTTAGACAACTGAACCCATCTAAATGGAAATTAATATAGTAAATAGACTTAACTTTAAGAAAGGACATAGGCTACATTTTATCGCGAAAAATAGGGGATGAAAGTTTGCCTGAAAATTTGTCATTATCAATTTTTTTTTAAACAATTGATAAGTATAGATAAATATTTGACAACAGAAGTAACAATAAAGAATAAACAGAAGATTAACAAAAGTAATTAAATGACACTCAATGTCTTTTTTGCATTTAATAAAATTTTAAATGTATGTTTGTGTCATTAATAAATTTAAAAAAAATAAGTATCCTAAGGGAATAATATTTCTGCTCAAAGAAACTACACCACGCGTATAAAATTATGCCTATATATATTACAGTCAACTGATCTCGTAAAGTTCATTTAGCATAATAATTCTCCGCTAATACGGCACTAATTTCGATTTGTTTACGAAATGGCGCCACCGATTGGTCTATCTCTGTAATCGCTGAAAGTTGTTTTTACAAAACTTCAAAAAAAAATAGCAAATTTAAACATCAAGTACTAGACCATTATCAGTAATTTTATTCTAATGTCAGATATTTTTAGCTATTGTATGTGAATAATGCTGTTCCTAAATTAGTAAGGGTATAGGTTTTTACATCTGATAGTAGTCATCCGATAGTAGTAAAAAAATGCTTTCGTCTTGCCATAATTTATTATGGTTTATGTAAAACGATCAGATCATTATTTAGGTACCTTTCTACGTCTTCGAACGGAATTACCAACGTTCCAAAAATCTCATCGTACCTAGCGTAAGTGACGTGTAGCTTCAAAGAGAGCTGCCCTACACTGCGACGGTCCGATCAGGAAAAAAACGGACAAGTGCACAAGCTACTCATCCGAGTTTTTCATGTCATTCCGGACCGGAAAAAATCGGACCGCCGGACCTGAAAATTCAGTTTAGTGCACAAGCGCCCTTACTCTCATTTTCCTGGGTGCTATCCAGTGATGAAGAATAAAATGGACTTTGCAAACCGATATTAGTTAACCGATTTTTATTTACTACCTCTAAAATGGGATAAATCATTCTAAAAAGACTGCATTTGTAGTTCCTCGTCTTTGACATACCATCTTTTATTTAGAAAAATAGATAAGAAACAGAAAACACGGCTAATTACATTCACCAAACTGTGGCTATTTAAAATAACGTAATGGCAACTATTATTATGACATTATTATCAATTTTGACAGATATTATTTTGATACTTCTGTTTGACAGATAGCACAACACCCACGGAATCATTGTACGGTTTCGTTTTCTTAAATTTTCTCACCAATCTCTTATCTACAGTAAATTTGCCGCTAAAGTTAACTACAGGTACGTTATCCAATAGTGCTCTATCACTTGTCATTCACATATGGCGTATAAGAATCACCCATTTTTGTATATCTGGTCTACTGTTAGTATGTAATAGTTATGTATTTTATCTACGTACATACTATGAAACTTGATTGTTAATCGTAAGTTTATCTGCAGGCACAAATGACGAACCAGGCATCGCCCGTTGAGGAGCAGGAGAAGCTCCTTGAAGAAGCATTAAATGTTGTTAAAGTCCAGGTAACATGATTAATTTTCGTTCTTATTTGTAAATTAATCATTAAAAAACCGGTTCAAAATAAGACTTGTGCGTTTCGCTATTATATATTGCTTTAGGCTTTTGTAGTAAAGGACCTAGTACTATAGTGATATCTTATACGAGTGAAGATTGTTTAAATTTACAGTCTGGATGAAAATAAATATATTTTGTTCTTATCCCGTTTTTCATAAACCTGTTTTTTCTTTCGAATTTAAATTTATTAAATAATTAAAAAGGATAAAATTATATCTTTTGTTATGTTAACACTAATGATGGTATAAGGTTTTTAATAAGTTATAAGAAAGTTACATAGCATTTTTCCAATAATACAAAAAGGTTAAAAGTCTTATGTCAATGTATGAGCCATGCTAAAAAAATCAAGAATAGATTTGCTTGTATATGCATCTTTACTCCAATAATAACTATTCTTATTTATTACTTTTTCTAGGCCTTTCAAATGAAACGATGCCTCGACAAGTCAAAGTTGATGGATGCTCTAAAGCATGCATCTACAATGCTGGGAGAGTTAAGAACTTCATTGTTATCACCAAAGAGTTACTATGAACTATGTATCCTTTATATTATATGGAATAATCATTTCATAATGAAATACATACATAACAAACCAGTATGTTATTTATATACTTGTATCATAAACTTATAAATAGAATTTAGTAAAACCTCTATTTTAGATACTCAATGTTTATCCTAGGGCTAAATGGGCAGTGTTATATTCATTTATTGTAGCCTGAGTGGTGATGGATTTGAGTACAACTAAGTAATCATAAGAAGAAAAATATGAATTGGGTTTCTAGAGACCATCAAAATTCACCACACCATCAACCAGACGCCATATTGTCAAAAGGAAAAAAAAATCAATGGACTATGTCTAGTGGGGTATCGTTGAATAGGTATTTTAAAATTGATTTGATTTTATTAGTAAAATTAAAATGGGCCCCTACTGTGAGTTGTTCTGTTCTGCATTAGAATTTATGATTTGTTTTATGTGTGTATTGATTATAAAACTATTTCAATTGTGTAGTTATTTAGTATTACTTAACAGAATTCTAAACTACTGGGCTTGTTAGCTTCTTTTTAGTTTTTATTTAAGTTAATTTACTCATGTTTTTTTTTAAATTCATTTTTACGCAGTCAGGTTTTTTTGTTTTTCATTAAATTATTTATGTTTTTAGCATGTATCTTGTGTGTAATATTCTTTATTACGTCATATCTTCACAATTGCTGAATGTATTTAAATTATTCAGGTGACATTAGATTTGTCTCAGTAGCCCAAGTGTTATTAGATAACGTTAACTATCTATAAAAAACATCTTAGGTAACGTAAAATAATCAAATATAGCTGTGCCACGTAATTACATTATTTTTTCAATACTAATAATATGAGTGAGTAAGTGGTGAGTGAATGATGAGTATCAAATTAAAATACAAGTATTCCTAAAAGTTATATCATAATTTTTGTAATACTTATAAAAATAATACAATCATAAAGTTCAATTAAAATAAAACAAAAGTTTTCTGAATCAACTTGGTAATTTGTCTACCTAAAAAGACATAAATTAAATTGTAATTAAAATTAAAACGCAACTGAATGTAAAACAACTAAATGAAAAAGCTGGAACAAGATAAAAAAATTATGCAACATCACGATAAAATAAAATAAAAATAGCCTCTATACATCTGACTTTCTGCATTATATTATAGTTATTTAGTTTTGCCGCCGTCATCGGCACCTGTACCGCTAGGTTGTCCTTTGACAAAGGCCTCCTCCAGTATACCCCATGCCCCTCTATCTCTGGCTGCTCTTCTCCATTCCTTTGGTAGGTCATTTTCCCATCTCTTTATCTGCCTACCTCTTTTTTGTAGTCCGTCACGAGGGTACCATACTATGATATTTTTTGCCCATTTTGGTTTTGTTTATTTCGTCATATGCTCTGTCCACTTCCATTTTAAAATCTTCACTTTATGGATTACATCTAACACACATGACTTCCTCCTTATATCCTGAAGACGTAGCCTATCTCTAAGCTAGGATACTTTTGTCAATTCCTTGTTTACATACTTTTAGTTTTGACACTGTGTAATTTGAATATGACTTTGTTTGACATCCATAGCTTAGCACTGGAGGTATACAGGTATCAAAAACTTTTCTTTTTAGGGATACAGAAATCGAATTACATTTCATAACTCTTTTTATAGACCTGTATCTTGACCATTTATTGCAAACTCTTCTCTATTTTTCTTCTGTATTTGCAAGTTTGGTGTTATTACCTGTCCCAGGTAATTGTATTCCTCCAACTTCTTGCATTCCCACCATCAGCTTTATTTTTGAGTTATTAATCATTGCCTTTGTCTTGTTCAGATTCATGATCAGTCCATCTTTTGCACTTTCTGTATTCAGTTGTATCAACATACTTTGAAGGTTAGTCGGGTCTTCAGTAAAAAAGACAAGGTTGTTAGCAAACCGCAGATGATGCAGTTTACTACCGTTTATGTTTACTTCCATCTCATTCCAGTCTAGGTTTCTAAATATTTCCTCTATATTAAATATTGCAACAGCATACATTATATTGAAGGCAAAAGTGACTGATCTATCAATAACATCAGCTTGTTAACTTCCCCACTGCTGGGATACAGGATTACATTATAGACAGAGCTACCCATAATCTACCACAGGGGCAGCACAGATTGATGGTTGTAATTGACTGCTGGTACAGTCGTGACCAATGGCTTAACGTGCCTTTTTAGAATCTTAAGATAATAAACTGTAGTCGCTAATCTTAGGACCAGCCGTTGTGAAAGTGGCTTAGCATCCGTATCACAGACAACGCGCTAAGCACTGTGCTATTCTGCTCTATATCAATTTATTCTTAACCATAAGACAGATATGGCGATAACTGATGAACTCCGTCACCTAGAGCTATACCTCTTGGAAGAGTTTCAGAAAGGTCGCAAGGTTGCAGATCTCTATGAGCTGGTGCAGTATGCTGGTAACATTGTGCCCAGGCTTTATTTGCTTATCACTGTTGGTTTGGTATATATCAAAACTAACTCTAACTTGAGGAGAGATTTGCTCAAGGTAAGTTATTTATAAAAAAATATTCCCCTCACTTATTAATTGACATACAGTCAGTTGCACAAACGTCCATTGAGGATTAATGACGCCTTTAAGCTATAATGATTGTCAAATTTGTATCGGTAATGTCGCTTTAAACTATTTCAATTTTAATGGAGGTTTGTGCAACTGGCTGATAGAATGTTGATTGTCAAAAATATTTTTCTTAATTGATATGGATAGAACAAATTTACCAAAATAGACACGTCTTTAATGAAAAATGCTTTCAAAATTTCACCAATTCCAGGCATCCCGAAATGAGCCTCGAACCCACAACCTTCCATAATTTTACGCATCTTGGGTTATCTAGGGCTGGTGGATTTATTTGAGCATTTAAATTAAAGATATTTAATAGTATAAGCATTGTTAATGTAAAATAGATCAAATATATTTAAAAAATAGTATTCGCTTGAATTTGTTTTTTTTAAATGCCTGGAAAATAAATATGTTTCTTTGTTGCTTTAGTTTCACAAGGTATGGCATAGATAATAATTGAGTGGGGCATGCTACGTCACAACTACGTAGAAAATGTACAAAGTTGTGACGTCTTGCGACATTTCAACTTAATGTATCGCCATATTATTTACGCTTATATTATGTTTTAATAATCTTCTTGACAGACAAACTAACAAAAATTAGTCATCATCCTATTAAATTTTATTAAGCTATGGAGAATTGCATGATAAAAAGTCGTTTCCACTCCATTCTATGCCAGTGTAAATTGAGGCTTAAAATACTGATTTTAATACAGACGAAAGTCACGATGTGTTTTATGTATTCCTATAGGATTTAGTAGAGATGTGTCGAGGAGTGCAGCATCCTCTTCGCGGATTGTTCCTCAGGAATTATCTGCTGCAGTGCACTAGGAACGTGTTGCCTGATACTGCGGAGGCGCAGAATGAAAACGAGGGCACCGTAAGTGTAATTACACCACAAAATCTTTTGATATTACATTATATCGACGTCCGTGGCCGAGTACGCGCACCGGTTTCAAGGTGTCGCCATCTATTGGGGCTTAAATGTAGAAAATGACCTTTTTCTATGTTGTCTCGGATCAGGGTGTTGTGTTACCTTCGTTGTTTCAAATCCATAATACGACTGCTTTAGCTACTCACTTTGGAATATGAGCAATGTATATGATGTTGTCTAATAAAATTATTTATCTATTCATTTGTAACAAAAATCATCCTATATGTAGGAAAGTAATGAACTGAAATGCTGTCCGAAAAAAACTGTTGCATGTTTACGCACAATGAATTCTAAAATTTGATACTTTCGTCTAGTTTCGTGACGACTGGTGTGCGTTCACTTTTATCATACATATAATATTCCTTTTTTGTTTTATAGGTGAGAGACGCAATTGATTTTGTCCTCATGAATTTTGCTGAAATGAATAAATTGTGGGTGAGAATGCAGCATCAAGGACATTCGAGGTAAAGCTAACTTGGATATATTGTAGATTTTGAATTTAGGGTGCCGTTTTTTGTTTCTTGTGAAATATTTGAAAAAAAGATTTTTTCAGGTTGTCTCAGGTACTTGGCAGTGTTATTCTGTAATAAAATTAGCGTTGAACTTGACATTGAGCACGGTTATAGGGTGGTTGCGCTAGTGAAAAGTAGGTCACGAAATTGCACAAAATGTAATAAAATACATCGTAAGAAATATAGGAGTTTTGTAAATTTTGAGTCTTAAAATCGCATGATTATGATTTTAAATCTTAATACATTGATGATAGAATATAAATAGGACTGAAGGTCAGGTCAAAACAATATGTGAAATATCCGACATCGATTTTGAATTCTAGCCTCTAAACTCGGTTTAAAATCAACTGTAGAAATTAGACAGAGTTGAATGAGTACAAACACTGATATATTTTATGATAGTACCCAGAAGTTTTATCTAAGAACTAGCGGACCTGGTGAACTTTGTTCCGTCTTACAGTCCATGAATGTAAAGATTTGGGATCTCAAAATTACTATAATACTTGCACAAAATAAACACATTACCGGTTAACTTTAGCAATAATTTGAAACAAACTATTACACATAGGGCAACTATCAGTAGCGATTTGTTATAACACAGCATTATTATCACTGTTTTGCTTATTTCTTTTTATTAATAAATTTCATTTTTTAATATTTATTATGCTATTCCCGATGAAGACAAATCCAAAAGTAAAAACTTATAAAAATCGGTCCAGCTTTACTGGAATTATAAATGGTGTAACTAACACAATTTTCTTTTATATATATATAGACTTAAAATGTTGGCTAAATCAAACCAACCATCTTACTAATTTTATGGAACATTATTTTAATTTAAACAACTTTTTTGCAACAGGGATAAAGAGCGTCGAGAACGCGAACGTTCTGAGCTTCGGATTCTAGTGGGAACGAATCTAGTTCGTCTGTCGCAGCTGGAGTCCGTCACTGTCGATGATTACAGAAGACTCGTGTTGCCCGGTATACTAGAACAAGTGGTCAGCTGTAGAGACGCTATCGCGCAGGAGTATCTTATGGAGTGCATCATACAGGTATACACTTATATATTATATCATTATCTTACTTATATATTATATCAATTGTTTTCCAGCGTCTTGCCATAAATTATAGCCTATATCACCTGAGTATGATGTAGCTTCTCATAGGTGAAAGAATTTTGAAAATTAGTCCAATAGTTTCGGAGCACATTCAATGGAAACAAACTATTATACAAGTAGTTCCCGACTTTAAACATGTGTAAAAATGATTGTGATTATTCTCTGAACTCACAGCCCTCTGTAATGATATGAGTAAGAGGAGCGTGATTTCTGTTTGCGATCACGTGACGAGTGTAATATATTTGTTTGTTTCATTATTAATTGAAGCAATATTATAAATATAATAAGCTTAAAAGTGTGATTATAATAGTATATCAAACACTACCAGAAAAAAAAAATTCGTTTACTGTCTACACCTGTATTATAATAGTTATTTATTAAGGCGTAAGGCGTTACATTCATAAAATCCGTAAGGCTTTTTAAACGATTTTGTTTCGAAAATAAATTTTAATTGATATCTATCATTTATGTTAAACATTTTATGAATTTTCCAGGTGTTTCCAGATGAATTCCACTTAGCGAACCTTCAACCGTTCCTAAAGTCATGTGCTGAGTTGCAACCGGGTGTTAACATTAAGAACATTATCATTGCTCTCATCGAAAGACTTGCTACTTACAGCCAGGTACCAAGCAAAGCTTCTGATATTATAGATTTAATAAAAAATCGCATTTCATTGCTAATTATATAGAAGAGTTGACTTAATAATTTTAAATGAAAAAATGACCGATAAAACTTGGTATTATTTTTAATAATTTTAAATGAAAAAATGACCGATAAAACTTGGTATTATTTTTAATTGTCTGTCAGTGCGTTCCTCAAAGTCCCACAAGGATTTATCTTAGGACCACTCTTTTTAGAGTCAAAATATTATAATCCGTTTCAAGTGGATTCTTCACTATTTAGTACTTATAAGTGTTGTTTTTCGGTAAACATTACTCTTTAAAATAATGTTGTTACCGATGTTTTTGAAAAAAAAAATGGTATTTCTTTTTTTTAATTACTCATTGTATGTGGTTTTTATAGAGAAATGAAGGAAACATCAACTTAAGCGTGGTCATGGAAGATGGTAAGGAGCAAGAGGTCCAACTATTTGAGGTATTTTCCGATCAAGTCGCTGCAATTACACAGGTACGACGTTGTTTCTGATTTTCATTACAAAAAACATTAACTTTAGGGATCTGATCAATGTGATATCGTTTTCTAATGATTTATTTACCGCATGAATTGAAAAATTATGTTGATCAATTTAATATGCGATGACGAAGATTCAACAAAGCAGAGGCCTATCGTCGGATGGGTGACCAAAAATTTGCTGACTGAAACTTCTCTGTACTTTAAAAGGCACGTTAAGCCGTTGGTACGGTTGCATCAGCACTCATTAATACCTACCAATCCTCACTGGGTCCATGTGGTGGGTTATGATCCATTTTCCTCTTTGGTTCTTAGTCTTATCTTAGTGAAAGCCTGGGCGTCTGTGAGAACATTAATAGTGATGACATTGGTATGTTTTATGTAACAGAGTCGTACTGACATGCCTCCGGAGGACATGTTAAGTTTGCAGTTGGCATTACTGAAGCTAGCGCAACGCTGCCACCCTGACAAACTTAACTACGTAGACCGAGTGCTCGCTCACACTGATAAGATATGCATAGACATACATCAGAACAGGTAATATTATACAGGGTTATTAAAATCAGCGTCAGGTTCTGTAAAGGCCTGACAAATTTCCGAAATGGTTACCTTTTATGTTACGGCCGTGAGACCTCAAATAAATAAATGTATTTTCTTCTTTTCTTACATTTTTTATCAATTTTGTGTCTTATAACTTTAAAAATCTATCCATATCTCCCTCTCGCTCTCTCCTCTCTCTCTCTAATATATAATATCTATCATCATTAATAACAACTTTTTAATATACTGTATAAAATATAGACTTTTTAAATGTTACGACAGTACAATAAACAAATAAATAAATTGATTTTGGTTGATTATTTAAAAACTCGTATATTAAATGTAATTGATGTTTTACAAAAGATCTTGTATAGTAACTAGCCAACTACTCCGGTTTCGCATGAGTTAAACTTACATTTAGTGAGTTCCATACACATATGTACATAATACTACTGAACCAATATTATTTTATAAAAACATTTCTATTTTATTTTATGACGACCTCCGTAGCAGAGTAGTACGCACGCCGGTTTCAAGGCGTCATCATCTCTGAGGTCATGGCTTTTGATTCCCAGTCGGGTCAAATGAACTTTTCTATATTGTCTCTGGTCTGGGTGTACTCGGGCTTGTGTAGCTACTCATCTTGGAATATGACCAATGTGTTTGATGTTGACTAATATTTATTTATTTAAAGAAATTTGATACATAGATGGACCTTGAGAAAAGACAGGATAGTTTTTAGGATTGTAATAACTGATTTCCTTTTATTTTATATTTCTATAGTGGCAAAACTCATTTGGAACATAACACGCCAGTCTTCAAGGAACTAATGAAGATATTGAAGCTACCAGCTGATCATTATAAGAATATTTTGACGCTGATAAAGTTGCAAAACTATTCTCTCCTTATAAAGCATTTAAATTATCCCGGAAGGACCATGATAGCAGTACATCTCATAAACGACGTATTGGAGTCTGACATAATGATATCTACACCGGAGAATGTGAGTTGAAATATCTATTATACTAATTATTTGAAAGACACACACACATATATATACATATATGGTATCATTAGAAACGTGACATAAAATGTAGGCTAGTTTTTACAAAAAATAACAATATTATTGATGTATTATGCCATTTTAAAAAGTATGTTAATTTATAGAATTAAAAGCCTTTAGTATATTTCAAAAACATAATATAATTTGCATACATAATTAACTGCTCACTAACAGTGTTATTAATAAACAAGGTTTAGCGTTGGAGTAAATTTTAGCTGAGACTGCACTTAGTATTAGCTTTAATTCATATTATTAAACAGACACTTGCCAAAGGTTAACCGAGTACGAGGTTCTATGGGAGTAATATTTACTCCTAGAAGGTTTATTAATAGCAGAGTAAAAGAATGAAATAAATATTAACATGTAACTGACAAAATGACCAGTCTATGGAACATTTGTAATCCGTTAGGTAGATGATTGGAGAATATTGAACACGTATTTTTTTCCTACAGCGAGCTTAAATAATAGGCATTAAAGTTAAAGGGGGGGCCTTTAACTTTAATGCCTATTATTTAAGCTAATTCTCGTTAAATTGAAGCAGAAAGATATATGCATCTAATATTTTTCTTTGATCTGACTGATGGACTAAATAGAGTATTTTTTTTCAATTATTGCCCTGCGATTCAGTAAAAATCCGAACCATTTTCACATATTTATCTATACAAATTCTACTAAATATTGTTTTAATGTCACAGTTCGTCGACCCCCCCCCCCCCCCTGAAGAGAGTTTCGAAATGACATAGTGATAGAATATCCGAGATACATATTGTTGTTTTGTATATTTATACAATAAAATGGAATCAATACAATTTATACACTAAATGACATGTATTCGGAAACATGAGTGAATTCGAATTCTACTTCGGATTTTATACGGAATTGCAACCAGGACTGATTTTATAACTCACCAGCAGGAAGCTTCATCATACGTATACGACATAATTTACGCGGGCGAAGTCTCGAGAAATCAGCTAGTTTTGTCAATCAAATAATAATAAATCTTCTCTCGATAATTCGGTGTAGGTGGATGCGGTTCTATCTATGGTGGATGTTCTTGTAAAAGATCAACCGGACCAGCAAACCGGGGAACCAGATATGGAAGACTTTATGGAAGAACAGGGACTGTTGGCGCGGTAAATATTTAGTCTAATTAAATAACTAAACAATGTCAAAACAAGTTATATAGTGTTCTGTAGCTCGGTGACGTAGTGGGTAAGCGCCGTGGCCCGCGACCATTGTTATTAAATTAAGCAACTATCTCAAGGATCGGTCACGGGATGGGTGACCTTGTAACATATAAACTGTCTCTCTTTTGATGTTTAGCTGATGCGCTTAGTTCCTTTTTACGTTTTGATACAAATAAACGCCAATTTAAATATTTAAAGAAATATAATAAAAAAAATATATCATAATTGTAGGTACACTGGCAAAAGCAACTTTCGCAAGGGTCGGTCACGGGATGGGTGACCAAAAAAAAATTATCTCGAGCTACTTCGTGCTTCGGAAGGCACGTTAAGCTGTTGGTCCCGGCTGCATTTGCAGTCGTTGATACCCTCCAATCCGCATTGGGCCAGCGTGGAGGGTTATCGCCAATTCTCTGTATTCGATTCGATTCCATCTATAAAGTAAGCCGAAGTCCCATTATATTGTGGTGGGAACATCAATAGAATGGTAATGATGATGAGGACAGCCCTTAAATTTATCTTATCTATCTCTAAGGAAGGCATGAGACCCTGCAGTGGGAACCTAAAAAGGCTGATGATGACATAGTGTTCTTAAGCAAACGTTTTACAAAATTTACAGTTGTAAATGAAAATCATACTTATTAAAGATACCTGTGTGTAATAATATCCTATACAACTTAATTTTTAAGTACATATTGTGTAATAAAAATGAAAATATTTATGAATATATCGATGATTGTTTGTGTTCAAAAATTTTACCTGATTTGTTTAAAGTTTGTATTGCGAATTATGAACGAAAAGGTTTTCTCCCGTCCCGTTTAGTAAATTATGAAAAAAAAAACAGAATGTCGCGTACACACGCGGTTTGTTGTTTATTCATTTACGAGTTTACCAATATTTATGTGTTCTCAAAGACGATTACATATTAAGAACTTTTTGAAATGTAACATATTCTGTGTTACGATACACCTCTTGAAATTTTAGATCTATTTCAAAATTAACCGTGTATAATTCTTTGATATTTATTTTTTCTTCCTATAATTATTCTATTAATAATGCTACTATCGTATAATTATCCTACAATACGGGTGTAGACAGTAAACGAAAGAAATATATATTATTTTTTTTTCTGTTAGTGTTTTAATATACTATTACCTACAGTCACACTTATGCTTATTATATTTATAATATTTGCTTAAATTAATTATGAAAGAACTAATATTTAATACTAGTTGTTACGTGACCGCAAACAACGCGTGACGTCACGCCCCTCTTACTCATATAAGAACTTAGCGAATTAAACAGCACCAAAAAAATGACATACATAGAACTAAGAGGAGCGTGACGACACAGCGACGCCATGATATAGGTCGGCGTTTGCGCGGCAGATTTATTTTTAGATTTTAACTTATTGTATGAATGATACTTTTTAGATACATTTCATATACGAGTATATCTAATAAAATAAGAAAAAAAAATGTCGTATTTCTAGATTGATCCACCATTTCAAATCTGAATCAGCTGATCAACAGTATTTGATATTGAGCGCGGCGAGGAAAGCATTACAGAGTGGAGGCGCTCGTCGTATACAGCACACGTTCCCGCCTATAGTATTCCACGCGTATAGACTAGCCTTTACATATAAAGACTTGAAGGATCAGGTGAGGAAATTGATTTTATATAACTCTTAATACTTATAATATGTCTTTATTTCTATTACTTATTCAGATATATATATTTATATATTATTACCTAGGGGAAGTCAAATTACCTAGTTTTGTTTTATACATACAGGATGTATTTTGTTTTTTTTTTTGTTTGAACTAGAAATTTTATTAGTATTGTATTTTCAGGACGAAATGTGGGAGAAGAAATGCCAAAAGATATTCCAGTTTTGCCATCAAACTATCACAATGCTTGCAAAAGCGGAATTGGCTGAGCTACCGTTGAGGTTAGTTATACAGGGTTCCTTATGAAACACCAACAATCTCTGAGGATTATATAACTGTAAATAATATTTTGAGCTTGTAGGAGAGCTGTCAAACTCTAGATGATTGTTAAGCTACTTTAAAAATTAATCCATTCATTCATTCATGGAAGTTTTTTTAATGATCATATTTTAACCTTATGACGAACGAATATATTTTCTGTAGTAGATGAAACGAAACGTAACATGGCACGGTCTGATTGTCGTAGCTTTCAGGGATTAAAAAAAAATAATTTACAGCTTGGCTATTTTTTCCTGACCTTATTTTTCGTTATTATGCGCTATGAAATAAGTAAATATTATTTTTTTACTAGGAGAGCTAGTGACAAAGATTTGCAAGTGTTTTCTAAAGTGCGCGCCTTGTTACTGTTATAAATTTTAGAATATGCTTTTATGTTATAGAGTAAAATACTCTATTTTAGATTACGGTTGACAACCCTATACGTTAGAACAATTCTGCTAATATTGGCGTAGTTATGGAAGTTGATAATGCTTGAACAACAATAATTTATGACACAGTTCTTGTTACTAGACTACAAAATAATAAATATATCTGTCAACCTTGATTTGTGGCCAATCCTAGCTTAGACATTTTAATAGGTTTTTTTTACAGATTATATCTACAAGGAGCCTTAGCTATAAGCGAGATAGGTTTCTCCAATCATGAAACAATAGCTTACGAGTATTTATCTCAAGCATTCTCTCTATACGAAGATGAAATATCAGACAGCAAGGCACAGTTGGCCGCAATTACTCTCATAATAGCTACATTTGAACAGATCAATTGTTTCGGTAAGTGGTCAATACGTATTTCTTTTAGGGCGAGGTTGTAAGAAATAACCACTTTTGTAACAAATTTATTCTAAGTGTATGCTAATATTTGTCTAATTAATTAAAATAATTTTATGAAAATCAAACATATGATCGATTGCTTGCTTAGAATAGAAACATAAATTTCAATAATTGGCTCGATAGAAATAAAATGTGTAAAGATGACACTAAGTAGGTTTTTTGGATCGATTTTACAACTCGTATATTTCATCTTAACTATATAAAAATATATTTTAGACAAATAAAAAACTTAAACAAGTAACACAATTACATAGGCAACTAAATCTCTGCCCCAAAACGGTTCCAGCTCAGCATATGCTGGTCTTGTGCTGAGCTGATCTTCCGCTGGAATCGATCAGATGAAAAACACGAACAGCAACACAATATAACAATAATACAGTGACATTAAAATAAAAATATATAGTCGTACCCAAAGTCCGGCTATTTAGTGAATGTAATTCCTTCGCCTATCCCATAGACGAAACATATTTTAATATATTCTTTTGGTTAAAATTTTTTCAAAAATACGTGTCCAATATTTTTCGATTATCTGATTGACGGATTGAATAGAATTTCCTTTTTTTACCCAGTCATCATTATTAGCTGTCGTGGAGAGGGGGGGGGGGACTAAGATTAATAAATTTTCAAAGATGATGTATTTGTGTTGCCAATATTACAACAATTACTATAAAATGAAATAAAATAAATATTTATGGGGGCTCCCTTACAATAAACATGTTTTTTTTGTGTTTTTATGGAAAAAAATAATACAGTCCTTTGTAAACTCGTGGTAGGTGCTGAAAACGCGGAACCTATGCGAACGCAATGCGCATTAGCAGCGAGTAAATTGCTGAAGAAACCCGATCAGAGTAGAGCGGTCGCTCTGTGCGCACATTTGTTCTGGAAAGGACCTAAAGATGGGAAACAGGTTAGTGGGATTATGGCCTCGTACTGGACCTTGAACGGATGAGTACACACCTCATTGTTTTCTATGGACAGAGGCTGAATAGAGTTGAATAAGCGTAATCGGTACCTCAATCTGTAATAAATCCTGTATACTAAATATAACCTACTTCGAAAGGTAATAAAGTTTATATTTTATTGAAGCTCTATGCTTTTAAAGCGTTGTGCTCGACATCGACTTTATGAAGGATTTTATTACAAAATAACATTTTTTAATTAAGTATGTTTATATTTCAATAATTTTGCATTGACAATGATATGTGTATGTATGATAAATATTTATCTTAAAGAAAAGTGCTAAATGGCTAAGTCGATGACATCGTAGGAACGACATTTGCTAAATTTGCTTACTTTAAGCAGATTTCTAAATTGAAAAAAGTACAAAACCTCAACATATTATAATCTTAAGTCACTGAGAGTAACTTTATATTTTTAATTTATTTTAAAAAGTAACATTTGTTTAATAAGTTAGAAATCTATAAATAAATTTAGCTGTTAAAATTTTCCATAAAACGCCAACTTCTGTCATGGCGTCGCTATGACGTCACGGCCTTCTGAAACTTATATTATGCTTAGGGTTCTAAAGTAAGTTCTGATATAAGTTAAGAGGGGTGTGGGGTGTGAAAAAAAGTCCGGTCACCCATTCTATGACCGGCCATTGCGAAAGTTAATAATCCATCAAGCACAATCAAGAATAATATTTAATATGTTATTTTAAATCCGTAGTGGCCGCTGAATGATGCCAGTCGAGCATTGGAATGTTTAAAGAAAGCGGCTCGAGTTGCTCAACAGTGTATGGATGGAGGGGTACAAGCTCAGCTACTCGCTGAACTGTTGGGAAGATACGCGCTCCTGAGGGAGAGGGGAAATGCTGCCACCACCACCGCATTGATAGACGCGGTCAGTATTCTTATCAGGGTTCGCTGATGAATATCAATGTATATATATCGTATGTATCGATTGATATATACGTTGATATATAACAATTGATATTTATTGTTACCTTGCGTATTGAGTCTCAACTAGAAAATTAAGCAACCAGATGTGATGTTGGCAATATTGGCCAGAAGTAGCAATCTTACTAGAAATTTCTGGTATTTCTCGTAATATGAATGTGAAGATGAACGTGAACGGCTATTTTTTTTTTAATTGTATGCTTTTAAATTTATAGTAAATAAACAAATATTCAATAATCAAAATTTATCTTTATTTTACGCTTTTGATTTAAAAGATCAAATATTAAGTTAAGCCAATCGCAGCTTTTCAAATGCTTGATATATATTCGATATTTATTATCGGATTTTTGCGAACCATGATTTTCATAAACAATAATAGAATGGATCAGTAATCATTAATTTCAAATTAGGTATCCTAATAAAATAATATACTCTGTGTCTGTTTTGTGTATATCTTGGAAATACCGTCATGAATATGACGGATTGCGTTCATGCGGGTGTAAAAAAAAGAGTTTAACTTTGATATAATTTTACGGCAAGAAAACGTCTTTATATTTCCGAAATATTTCATATACACAATTATGTTTTTTAATTTAATATTTAATTTTTCCAAGTAATTTTTATTTTTATATATAAGGTATTTTTGATGGTGGTTGAGACAAAGAAATTTTACAATTATCGTAGCAGTTTGGTCAATTAAAAATTAATATAATTACAGGTAATTCAGAAAATACGCGAGGAATTAGCGAATTTAGATCAGTCCGAAGAAGTAGAGCAGATTACGAAACATTTTCACAATACGCTGCAACACGTCAAGAATAGAATGGAGTGTCCCGATCCTGACGGACTCGGCTATGAAGGTCTAGTTCTGTCTTAGATATAAATTTAATCTAATATTTTGACTGACAACTTTTTTCGGTCCAATAGATGTCATCACTATTTAAAAATACTACTTAACATGTGTAAATAAAATTGAAAAATTTGTCTCACTTTGAATTTGAATTCTTATTAAGAACATATTAGAGCTTAAAATCAAAGAAATTGTAACCTTCTGTGCATTTGCAATGATATGTGAGACAATGACGAGTGGGTTTGTGTGTGGAAGTTATTGATTTCTCTTTATTTTATACTCTAGCGAAAGAGATGTCAATAGTTTTCGTATTAACATCTTATACGTGTACGCAGGATCTGGCATTAGAGTGATGCATATTTTTGATGAAATACATTTCATTTGCAATTTATCAAATATGAATGTGTTTATATAATTCGGCATATAAATTTAATTACGATTATTTAAGTGATATGCTTAAACTTATTATTATTAACTTTGAGTTAAGATAGGAATGTAATAAATGTCACATACATTCCTATGGTTATTTTTTCTATATATATAGTCACAGAAGGAAAAATGCAACAGTTTATTTAAACTTAATTTCCAAGTGAGTAAGGTTTAAAATTAATTAGATTTATTGATTTTCGGTCGATTGTAATAGTGTTGTATCGTTTTATAGATCTGTCAAACATATATCTGTTTGTATATGTTTGAAACTATATACATATCTATATAAGTTATTATAGATTTTTAAGTTTAATGAATTTATCCTTTATTTATTTTCATCTTATAAATCTGTGCAAATAACATCATATTAATAAAGCAATAAATATTATATTGTTAATAATATACAGTTTTATTTCATGATACTCTGACCTTTTTGATATCAAAATTATTTGACTACTCTTTCTGACGCCAACAGGCACACTATAATAAAAATCATGTCCAATTTTGACCTCAAAATACTAACGCATCTAGTAGATATATACCCAAAGATAGCTTATTTTGTACTTATTTCATAGCGCACAATGAAGTCTTAAAATAAGGCTAGGAAAAAAGTAACGAAGATGTAATTTTTTGAAGTCTAAAAAACTTACGACATTACGATTCGGACCGTGAAAATATTCATTCGTCATATTCGTCAGTTAAAAAATGCACACTAACAATAATTATATTTAAATCCTTTGCACATTTGATTATATTGAATTAATTTTTAAACTATAGTCCGTGCCAAATAAACGTGCAATAAAGGTCATTCAACCCACTTGTACCACGAAGTCAACAAATTAAGCGATACCGATCGCTTCTCATACAAAACTGTCGCTAAATGGGTGTTCGGCCCGGTTTCATAATACATATATAGTACCATCCCATCATTTAAAACGAGTAACTTAAAAATTAAACAAAATCGAGCATGAATAATCGCATAATTTTTTTATCCTTTTTTTTTTTATCACTAAGACAATTAAACTCAATAGTTGGTGCGTCATTGTATTGGTTTCTTTTATTTTTTATATGAGGGTAATAAGTTTTCATTATTTTTCCTGCCTACCTTTCCTATCTAAAAACCCCAGACTGATTTGACATTCGTTACTTGAGCATCAGCAGACACGTTTTCGCGTTGTCTCGAATTCATCATTAAAAAAAGTAGTGATACGCACGTCGTACTAGCGTCGCGGTCGCGTACTACGAGGGTCAAACTGAAAGTTCTTAGAACTGGCCACTTATAAACAATATAATAAAAAAATAATTCTAAAATTTGAAAATATAACTCTTTGCCAATATTACTGAGTATATATTTCATTCATTTGTCATTTGTTTTACGATTTGGCGGCAAATTGAAAATTGTCTGTGTCACGTCATCATGAATTTAACACGAGAAAATTTTCGTGCAATGATTTTTTATGACTTTCGATGTCATTTAAGTCAACAAGAAAGTTATGATAGACTACGATTGGCCTTTCACGATGAAGCCCCATCTCGTGCGACTGTTTACAACTGGTTTAATGAGTTTAAACGTGGTCGCACTAATCTCACTGATGATTTACGTGAGGGACGGCCTTCTACGGCGACGACTGAAGATAACATCTGTGTTGTGCGGCGTATGATAGAGACTGACAAAAGAGTGACCTATCAACAGATTCGGACAAGCTTAGGCATCGGTATGAGTCAAGTGCACAAAATCCTCCACGAACATTTAGCGGTCAGGAAGCTTTGCGCCCGGTGGATACCTCATAATTTGACTGAGGCTCAAAAACTCCATCGTGTGGATTGGTGTCGTAAAATGATTGAAAGATTTAACGGAGGTGACTCAAATGCGGTGTTCGACATACTAACAGGTGACGAAAGCTGGATTTACTGTTATGATCCTAAAACCAAAAGACAATCTGCTCAGTGGGTGTTTCCTTTCGAGGAGTTGCCAACTAAAGTGAAGAGAGATCGAAGTGCGGGAAAAAAAATGGTGGCCTCGTTCTTTGGAAGGATAGGTCATTTTGCAACAATTGTGTTAGAGGATCAAAAAACAGTTTCTGCAGAATGGTACACTACCAATTGTTTGCCACTTGTCTTGGAAAAAGTTCGAGAGAAACGACCTCGCAGTAGGATCCTCCTTCACCACGACAACGCCTCGTCGCACACCGCCAAGCGAACGATCGACTATTTGGCGACATCAAACGTTGAATTACTGGGTCACCCGCCGTATAGCCCCGACCTCGCGCCTTGTGATTTTTATTTATTTCCAAAAATTAAAGAAAAACTTAAAGGAAAGCGGTTTATGAATGCTGAAGAAGCGGTGGCTGCGTATCGCGATGCCATTGAAGAGACCCCTAAGGACGAGTGGGCAAAGTGCTTTTCCCAGTGGTTCCATCGCATGCAGCGGTGTGTTGACGTGAATGGACAATATTTTGAAAAGATATAATAAAACTAATAACTGGCTAATGTAATCAGTTTTTGATTTTCTAAGAACTTTCAGTTTGACCCTCGTATCAGCTGAAATTGTTGAGGAAGAAGAGATAAAGGAAAGGCTGTTATCTAAATTTCAAAACAACATCAGCAACCAGCGCCAAACAGGTCAGTCAGTCAGTCATCTCATTTTTCCCCACCAATAGTTTTATTGTATACGAAAAATATGTTTTCGGCGTAATTTTTTTTTTCCCCATTTTCGTGTACATATTTTTTAACTTGCATATTTTATATGGTTAACTTGCGTCATCGGCATTTATAAACTACTACGTGAAAAAAAGGTTTATGATATATGTCAAACTCGGAATTCCAGGACTGTCCTGTACCACGATACGTCTAATTAGTCACTTTTAGCGATAGAATCCATACGATTTGTTCATTTTGTCCATAATATTAGAGTACATTGGTAGAGAGGAGGTGAATGACCTTTATTGCACGTTTATCTGGCACTGACTATAGTTTAACAATTATTTCTAGTTTTGACAGTTTATAAATGTCAATTTACAAATTACACATTTACCTGGCTTCTAGATGAAAAGATGCTCAGTTATGATTCTTTTTAAGCAATAACTTATTTAAATTATATTTATAACTAATTGTAGGTAGACACGACGTTTAAAATAAATTGTGTCAGGGCAATCAATGTATGGAAAGTGGGCATGATTCTTTACAGGAGTTGAAAATAAAAGTACATGTTGTTATTAAACATTTATATAAATCTGCATAATAGAGAATGATTTTTACAAATATACTAAACAACAAAATTTTATATCAACGCAAACAGCGTTTGAGTTCAATTTCATTTGAAATAAATAAATTAACATATTCTGTTGCCCTGCACATTGTTTCTGTTGTTTAACATGATCTTCTCTTGTCGTTTCTTCTCTTCTTTGAATGCTTCCTTATTGGCTTTCTTCTCTATTCGCCTCTCTTTCCTGTATTCTTTCAATAGTCGTTTTCTTTCCTTCTTTTCATCGGCGGTTTCGTCTTTTGGCCTGAGACAATAATTAATTAGGGTTGCTTTCCAATTTTTACAGATTTTCAAGATTTAATTATGTACCCTCTGGAGATGACACAAATTCTGACGAATTAACATGACACCTGATGGCCTATTCTATTTCTTCGAAAAAAAAAATTTTCGTCTATTATCGAAAAGCTGATAAGATTGCAAAGAAACACATTTTGCGATAATTTATGAAGCAACTGAGGGACACTGACAGTGTCATTGAGTCAAAAAATTCAGAATTTTCATTCGAGAAAAAACAGAATAGGCCCTCAGGTGTCAAGTTAATTCGTACGAGTTACATGTGGCAAAATATGAAAAAGATAAAACTATGAATGTGACAAAATAAAATAAGGTTAAGATATTAAATTTGAAAGTGACAAAATGAGACTGGAACAAACTCCATCAAAATTAAACCTACAGAATCAGAAGTTTCTTATGTATAATAATATCAAAGTTCATTTGAAACATACATATTACGAACTCACCTGAGAGATAATACGCTTAATGTCGATAATACGGATTCCGCGTGTGTTCTGCCTTCTTCGTCCACTTCGTGATCAGCTGATTCGTTGAGGGCGTTGAACTTTGCTAATGATCTGATGGTCAGTTTGTTGTCTTTGCCTAATACGTCTTTAGGTATTCCAGTCTTCGCGTTCACTTGTATCTTGGGACGCTAAAATTAAAACGCACTTTTATTATAACCCATCTTTAACACGAATGAAATTTGCGTCAACAAGCTTAAGTTTGTGGCTTTCACTACTAACAAAAAAAAAGCATTTATAAAATACTAAAAAAATAAGTAAACTGAGCGAAGCACTGGATTCTGGCGAAATCCACTAGGGCAACGCCATTAATTAAAAAGAAGAAAAAGACTAATGCAAATAACTGATTCAAGTCGTTTTTTGTACAGAAACTCAAAGTCGTATAATGTGTCGTGCATAAATCTTTCAGAGCTAGTTCTGACATTGACCGAACTTATGATAAATATCTATAATGAATCTTGTTTCAATGGCCATAAGGTGTAAAATACAAGGTATTAGGCGTCCATCTCACACTGCAGGAACCAAGACGATGACGTGATATTAAATAGTTCCAATTGGTCTGATTCTGTTGAGTAGTTGGTGATATTTGCCGCGCCATTTTGGTTGTTTTACTTACAAATGTTTGATATGAAGTTGGTCCTTCGAGCCGGACATCTTTAACCTTTTTACTTACTTTAGGCTCTTCTATGATTTTAGGATGATTGTACAGGTTCGAATATGTGGACAGAATACTCTCACAGTCCCATTGTTGTTTGGGCTTCACTTCTACTGTCATCAATTCTTCATCAGATTCTTCAGAAATCTCCTCGAGGCGCCTCATTCTGTTAGCATAGTTATATAAAACCATGACAATATAATAGGACTTGCCATTTTCTGGCGCCAGATTGTAGCGCTAGCATATGTAGTAATCGGTGTTTTATATACATCAAACATCATCCAAAGAGTACAGTAGGAATTAAACATTTTTTTTTGAGTTTTTTTATAAAAAGACATATTTATCCAATAAAATATTACTGCTACTATATTTGGATGGACGTAGCAAGTTTGTAATAGCTCGGTGATTAAGTGGATAGGCGACGCGGCCGGCGAACGTTGTTTTTAAGCAACTTTTGCAAGGGTCAGTCACGGGATGGGTGATCAAGAAATTATTATCTCGAGTTACTCAGAGGTTCGGATGGCACGTTAAGCCGTTGGTCCCGGCTACATTTGCAGTCGTTAATATCCTCCAATCCGCATTGGGCTAGTGTGGAGGGTCGTGGCCTATTTTCTTTATATTCATCCATAAGGAAGGCCTGAGCCCCTGTATTGGGGACGTAAAAGGGCTGATGATGATGTAGATTGTTTGATTACTACATATCATGCTAATGCTGCCCTCTACACCGAGCATTATGTAATATTCCTTTACCAGTCTTTTACAAAGAGAATTAAGACTTAAAATCAAATGGAAAAATTAGTTCTGTTTAGAAACCTCGCGATTTCCTTGTCTCGCTCGAGTTGGTGTCTCCTACGTGACTCCTCGAATTCTTCGGCGGCCCGCAACAGCATATCGTGCGATTCCGGCATAAAACCTTCGATCTCTTCCAAATCCAAAGCTCCCACTTCTGTATCGTCATATTCAGCAAACATCTAAGTGCGAAGTGATACTTTAATCAAAAATCACATGTACATTGTGTTTTAGAATTTTAAAATAATTTACATGCGTTTTTTAATTCTTTCTTCGGACTCAGATTTATCAGAATTGAATAAAATTAAATAAATAACATGAATTATCAAGTTAATTATTTTTATTCTTAATGAAAAAGGCTTAATAATTCCATTTCATCCCTGGTACTCTGAGATGGGACTCGAACCTATGGTAACCCAGCGGTTAGAGCAGTCGGTCAGTTTGCGAAGTCATGAGTCGAGAATATTTTGCAGTATAGCATTGTGAATACAAAATTGATCAAATATAATAACTAGAACAAAATTTTCATCTTTATCGAAAGTTTAAATATTTGTAAAAAAGTTTCTTTCGGCTGTTTGGATGGATTGCCTGAACATACGCTCTGTAGTAGTGAAATAGTAACAAGTGTTTGAAAAATTCGTCAGTCCTGTTATATTCTGGGTAGCTTGGTAGGTAGGTAGTTCGAGTCCTTATCAGAGTGACAATCATTATTGAATAAACTTTGTTTATGTTGTTTTAAAATATAAAATTATACAAACGGAACTAACAAAAGATAAAACTGTGAAATCACATTGAACAAAAAGTGAAATGAAAATATAAATAAATATAAAAAAGTTTTAAAAAAGGGAAAAAATTATGTCGGAAAAAAACTATTTATGAATTTGAGAGAATATTAGATTGTATAAGACGGATCACGGGCTGACTTGGCACTGCCGGAGTAACCCGGTCGAAACGTCGGGAAATATAGGTAGGTGAAAAACCTTACTATCGAAATCTATCGCATTAATACCCGTCTTATACAATCTTATATAATGCAACTTGAGAGTATAGTTTACAAACTTTGTAAAATTATCTGTAGATCGAAGTATTGTTTGAAGACAAGCATGACATAAATAAATTCTGCGCATAAACAATTAAAGTTACGAATGTATAGCAAGTTAATAAAACATATTGAATAACAGAAATGAATATAATATTGCCTAAAAGTTATCTTGGTCGTAAAAGAAATCTTGGTAGAGAATTTTTACCTTTTCAAATCTGCCATCGAGTAAAGAGAGGCCTTGGTTGCGACGAATCACACTTGATGACATAGAATACTGAGAGAAACGAGACTTAGTTTCCTCCTTATCGTTCCATGAAGGCATCCTGCCTTTATGGCCATCCTAAAAATATAAACGTACATAAAATCAACATATAACACCCCAATATATTTTATTTATTCACTGTAAAACTCTGGAAGACTGAAATAAATTGTTTAAATGAAAAACATAGGGAAATATTTATCTGTACTTTTATGTATTATTCCTTGTGGGGTCAGCAGAAAGCTAAAATAGTGAATAAGGAACGATGACTGGATAAATAATAAAATATATATTTAGTTCATCAGGCAAAAAATAGAAAAATATTAGATTCCTTTTTTTTTTTAATATAAATGATTTAGATAATAGGCATTAAAGTTAAGGAATGTGGGCTCACTATGTCACAACTATATAGAAAATGTACAAAGCTGAGTCGTCATACGGCATTTAAATTCAATATGTGACCTTAATTTATTGATTACGCAAATAATAATAAAAAAAGTGTTTAATATTCCTTAATAATCACCCCAACAGACAGACAAATATAAGTCATTATCCCTATTCCTTTTAATATTGAATACACTATAACTTATGATATGTGATGTTTCAATAATGAAGAATAAAAATTATGCCAATTTTATTGAACAATGCTATAGAAAACTGACACTTCTGCCTAAAGTTTCATCCCTCAATGCATACTTTTGAAACTTGTAAAAATCACCTGTTGATCACTGTCGTCATCGGAATCTAGATCAGATGCGAATGCTTTCTCTGAGTTACATCCATCTGACATACTGTCGCCATCACTTCCTTGATCGTCATCATCACCAGCATCTATAATATTATAATTTTGTTAGTAAAAAACAAAGTTCTTTGTATCTATTGTGAATTTTATTTTTAACACATCAAAAATAATTTATTCAAGAAATTTGAAAAGCCCGATGCTGTTGACCATATTTAACATAAGAATAAACAAAAAATTACCATCTCCCATTGCAAGTTCAATGAAATTATCTTCCAGCTGATTGTCCGGATCATCAAAATCAAAGTCCTCATCTAAAGCAGCCACCACCTCTGGGTCTAATTCTAGACATAAACCTGCAAAAAATGAGTACAAACATGTTTTTATCAGTTAAATAAAGTTCAGTACTGTTCTGCTATGCCCTGCACTATTTTGCTGAAATTTACCCAATTTACAGATAGTTTTAATCAAATCCTAAACAGGTTGCGTATTGCTGCTTCTGTCGCTATACTCCGTAGATAAAAGGGCTTCTGCAGAGATAACATGCTTTGACAGCTTTTCTGCATCTTACAATGTTGCAGCAGAAGAAGCAGAACTGTATAAATGTGACCATAATTGTTTAGCAGAACATGAATAGATCAGAATTAATATATTTAGTCCCTTTTTCTTTCTGTAAAAGCAAAGTGCCTAATCAAAACACAAATTTTAAACCTGCAATCATATAAATGTTGTACCTTGCGACGCAGCTTTATTCAGGAGGCCAACATCTTCCTCTACTTCTGATGCAAACACTGAACTTGGCAGTTTTAAAGTTTCCATTGCAGATTTTGTGGTTTCTATCTCATCTGTCTCATTTGCTGTTGGCTCTTTCTCTTTCCTTTTATGTGTAGATTTCTATGAATAAATTTAGTTATAAATAATGGCAATTGAATCAGATTTTTAAGTACCTATACTTCAAAACAACAGTGGAATTTCCCATTATTATTTGTTATTATTATCATTGGATAGCATTGGAGATTTAAAGGGTTGTGGTTACTATTCTAATTCCAAAATAATTATTCCTATAAATCTTACCGGTTGTAGCACCATAGTGACTTCTCGAGTATCTTTGAGATGTTGTAGATAATTGTAATCATCATCAAAAAATATTCCATACTTCATTTGCTCTTCTTTACGCTGCTCTAGTGTGAGTTCCTTGAAATGAATGGTATGAAAAACAGTTAAAAGAATATATGTGGGCATATTTTTGATAATAATAATTAGGTTTCAAAATAAAGATTATAAATAAATTATGGTCTAGAGGAAACATGTTATTTTAATACAGAACTAAGGGGTATATGACAAGTCTATAAGTTGTGGCCCTGTTCCTGAACTTAAAAAAAAGTACTTTAATAGTAATACTGACGATTAATACGTTTAATTAAAAAAGGTCTTCAGAGCGTATAATTCACGTTTAAATGAAAGCGATTGCTTAATCTTCATAAAAAGAGGTTAGTTTACTTACTGGATCTTTCTCTTTTTTTGGCGGTACGGTTGCATTTACAGGTACCAAAACCCTTTGAGGAGCAGTTTCATCTGCTGCAAGCGGATCCCTTTGAGAACGATGCACTAAATTGAAGGTAAGTGCCCTCTTCTTATCAATGAATTTCTTCTTTGCTTTAGGCTACAAAATAATAAAACATTAATATTGGTTGGAATTGAATGAAGGCTTACCCTGTAGTATTCCTTACCATTTTTGCTTTAATTAAATGCGTAAATCAGATACACAATCCAAATTCCTGAGAAAACAGTGAAAACATGTGTTGTTTTGTCGTTTGTCAATAACAGACGTCATTAGTAGTAGTTTCGTCCATGGGACAGGCGAAAGAACTAAGCCATACAGCCAAATCTTGGACTATAACAGACGTCAAAAGAGTAAACACTAAGAAAGTAAGCGCGTTTAGTTTTCTAGTTATTTTACGATCATTTAATTTTTATTATTCACTCGTAGTTTATATCGCTAAATCTCAACGGCACCGCCGTTATTTTGGAAATGTGTGTTACTAACTTTGCGTGTAGCAACGTATGTTGTACATAATATGCTGATATGTATATCAGATGTGAACCAAAAAAAGATGTATCCGAATTTTATGACAGACGAATATGACTATGCCTTTAATAACTTTACGAGGCAATGAAATGTTGAACATCGATAATAATGAAATTAAATATATGGATTACCTAGGATATGGCTGTAGGTGAAAGATTCTTATATTTTCAAAGTCATTTGACTTTTAAATTTGACGTTTCGGTGTAAATAAAAAAATAACCTTAAAAATGATTTTTTATAGCAATTGTAAGATTATAAATATTAATTATGGCAAGAGACTGGTCAATTTGCATTACATTAATTGTATTCGTGCAAAAAGTTCATCTGAACTTAAAACTAAAACTTATACACACACTATTCTTTCACCTAAAACAAATTTTCCGGCCCGCTCTAATAATGTAATAAAAGAGGAAATTCAGAAGGTATCTAATGAAAAATTACTAAGTATGATAAGTTAGATAGAACAACTAATGTCTTTTGTTTCATAGAATTACCAAAATCGTCAAGGTGCTTGTTACTTTTTACTATATTTTTGTTTCATTTTGCGGCAGTTGGCGCAGTTTACTGAACTATACAATTGGCAACGTAAAAACTTAAAAGGCTCAGAATTTGTGTTGCATGATGGCCCACCTTATGCCAATGGAGATCTACACATGGGCCATGCAGTTAACAAGGTAGGTTATATACAGTGTAGTCTACCAACTAACCATTAAAATACCATTGAATATGTACCTACAGTGTATTTTTTCAATGTGTTTTCTTTTTAACCGGTTGACCTGTAAATACAGTTAATGTGCCCCCGATTATTGTTATTTACATAAACCATAATATTGTGTTTTAGATTATAAAGGATATTAATAACAGAAGTCAGGTGCTTCAAGGAAACAAAGTACATTATGTTCCTGGGTGGGATTGTCATGGCTTACCAATAGAACTGAAAGCTTTGCAAAAAGCTAAAAAGACTATGAAGAAAAACGAAGTCACTGATCCGATACAGATCAGAGAATTAGCTCGTAACTTTGCTTTAGAAACGGTGGAAAGACAAAAGCAAGCTTTCAAGAGTTGGGGCGTGATGGCAGATTGGGAGAATCAATGCTATTTGACTATGAATAAAAGCTATGTGCAGAACCAGTTACAACAGTTTTATAAAATGTTCAAAACAGGTTTAATTTATAGATCCTTAAAACCTGTCTATTGGTCTCCCTCATCAAAGTAAGTGTTTTAATAGAGTATCATCAGCTCGTTAATGTCCTCACTACTGGGACACAGACATTCCATTTGGATGGCATTGAATAGAGAATGGGCCATAACCCACCATACGGGCCCATTGTAGTTGGCTTGACATGATTTCTGAAACACTGAGGAGTAGGGTGGAGTGAATTTTTTTTTCTCGAACAGTGAACCCATAGTAATGAAAATATTCATGCAAAATTACAGCTTTCTAACTCGATATCGTGAGGTGGTGCATTAGGTATGATGGTAGATAAATTAAGAAATAAAAAAAAGAGTTACAAATAAACATTTATTTCTGACAATATTATACTATATTTTACCGAATTTCTACTCAAAACTACATAATGAATTACTATATGAAGTTACCATAAAAATAATGTTCAGTATTAGAAGTCTCAGTATCTTCTTTTTGATGGAAATACTGAGATTTGGTGTTAAAAATAGGTATTTCTTGCCTGGATTTTATTCTAGTACGAATGAAACCATCTCTAGCATCAGGTACACAAACAGATGCCGAAGCTTCAGTTACAAGTTTGGCACACCTTTCGACTGCTTGAGTGTGGTACTTTTCAATATCAAACAGTTTACCTCCTGATGCAATTTTTGTAGTAATTTCCGAATCGCTGTATTTCATTGTAAGAGGAGGTTCTGTTATCTTCTCTTTCGCCCATTCTATTAAATCTTAATAATTTGTCGCATCTATTTTTAACTCTGGTAACTGGAATTCATGAACTTTCTTGCCTTTGGACTCTTTTCTTGCTTTTAAAACTCTCCGAAGAGCCAGCTCTCGTACTTGTTGAATATCTTCTTGTAACATAGCCAGCAATAGATTTTCGGGGTGTATGAAGAAAGCATTTCTTTTAATAGTATTTAAGACAATACTTTTTAAATCATCTCGCAAATAAATACTTCTTTTGACCATATTAAAGATGTGAATCGGACCAAATTTACCTCAGGATTTTGATTTGATATCAAACCAGTTTAGTGCATATACTTTCATGAGGAAAGTGGCTAGTTCTTTCAATTATTTGTAGCTGTACCAATATACAAACGAAGAATCCTTTTAGCGCAAATTAACCATCGAGAATGGGCTAGTTTTCCTGGGTCTTTATTAGCTAAGTTTGGTGGAACTATACCAGAAGAAATAGCACAACACATCTGATAAAGGTATTTTTGATCGGTGCTCACCAATTCAATATTCAGATCCGGCAATTCGGTGGAATGGGTTCGAATGCTACAAATTTTTTAAGTCAAGAGACTTATCAAGCCGTTTTCCTAATCTGCTAGAAAAAGTCTTAGAGTCTTAGTGCCGTCAAGACTGGAGAACAAATACCGAAGTGGTAATTCACTTGCATGTAACAAGCACACAAACCATTGCAAAGGGCGCTTCAGATGTTTTTGTAATAAAACAATGACTCCATTTTTTCGACCAGTATTAACAGCAGTACCATCGCATCCATTTGCCATCAAAGAAGAACGAAATTCATATTTATTTTCAAGAAATTCGACAATACTTTTCTCAAAATCATCTGCTTTACCCGAATCAACAGAAAGATGACCGATATATTCAGAATTGGGTTCTGATATGATTGAGAATTGTTCTGCAACTATAATCTTCCTTTGTAATATATAATCAGCCTTAGTTATAGTCAAAGTTTTGTTCTTACGACCATCAAAATAAATAACCGTTAAAGGTTCATGTTTTTCTACAGATTGCTATTTTTACGAATCTTTTGTCTTTCTCTGCGTATTTTGCTTCGGTCTACTACTTTTGATGGGTTCTCAGTAACGCAGCATTTACAATTCATGCTGCATATCGATCAGAAACTCCAGTTCTATCACAAGTTGTAGCAAAATTTTTCAGCTCATCTCTCATTTGTTGGGTTTTTTTAAGGGATGGTTTAGAAACTAATTCTGCAGTACGAAATTCATCGTCCTCATCTGATGTTGAAGCAGAACAATTGTCAGACGTCCAAACTATACCTAGAGCAGATGATGATGTACTTGGAGTAACGTTACATTTTGCAGCAAACTCTACATATTTTCATTTCCTAATTTCACGACGTTGCAAAGATTGAGTTGTCACCTTATCCACAGAACCTATATTGGTTCTGCTCATTTTGCGCTCATTTCGTTGATCTTTTAAAAAGTTTTCGCCAGCAGCGGGTACTTTAGTCACACATTTGCATAGTTCTCGGGAGATACATTTACATGTTGCGATATCAAACAACTTATTTATTGAATATTTGTAGAATATCTGCTTTTTGGAGTCATTACGTAACTTTTTCACATTCTTGTGATAATACGAAATCAGCCTGGACACGACATGTTGATGTGTAATTGTAGGGATATATGCTTTACTCCAGATTGCTTCAATATCGGAAGCAATCATTTCACATATATCTTTGACTGAAGGGTCCTTTCCATTATTCAACTCTAACATTTCCTTTCTTATCCATAAGTAGTGTTTAATCACGTCATAATATGTAGGTAACATATTGTTACTGAATTTGATTGGATCACCAAATCTTTCGTATCTCGAAAGATTTGGTGATCCAATTGCGTATCTCGTACGCAAATATAGTTTACACTTAGAAGAAGTGAAAAACAGTATATTTGTAAGCAAAGCATGTAAAAATAACTCTTTTTTGAGGGTAGGCTTACAAGTAAAAATATTAGTTTTTTAGAAACTAATTTCTCGATGCGCCACCTGAAAATAAAGTCGTAGACCTTTGATTTTTTGCACGAATAAAGCTTTCACATATGGTCACCTATTAATAATACAGGAGATTTGAAATGAGCATAAGTTTTTTTTTTATATGTTTAACTCCACCCTACTGAGGAGTTCTAGATAAGAAACTTTTGGTCACTATCCTATGACCTGCCCTTGCAAATGTTGCTTAAGTCAAATGTCATTAATGAATATGTTAATTTTTATTAACTTTATATTTTTCAAACATTTTCGTTTATTTCAATATTAGAAATAGCTTTTTTGTCACAATTTACCTTTTTGAGTATATTATAATTTAGTCAATATAATTCATATAATTAAGAAAACTACAATAACTATTTATTTATTTATTCATTCAACAAAGTTTCAACAGCAGTTTTTTTTTATTTTAATACAAAAATAAGTATGCAGCTAAGGTGTAAATATTACTCCCGTGGAACCTCGTACTAGGTTAACATTTGCTAAGTCTCTGTTTAATAATATGAATTGTGACTGAAACCTTATTCATTAATAACGTTGATTATGTTTACGAATATTATTAATTAATTAATCATAATGAGGGCAGTTAACAAAGAAAATGTAAGTATTAGACGAAAATACATATATATAAATTATACCGCACGACAACTATCTTGTATGTCTGTCTACACACACGTGGGTATGGGTAATTTTATGTTTATAAATAAAGTATGCGTAACTAGAACTTCAATTCATAATTATGTATTAACTCTAAAAATGGGACCGGGGTGAACGCACAACGACGTGTCGAGTGGGTAAAGTAGATGTAAAGATACCTACAGTACCGAGGCACATTCTACTGTCTGGCCTACATGGCGCAGCTACCAACGACACAAACAGGTGATGGCTCGTTATAATTATCAATCAAATCAATTCGATCCAATTTAAAAAATAAAGAATTATTTATCATTTCCATTCTTGACGATCCATGCTGATAGACCTGACCAAAGTACAGAGAAAAGGAAAAGTTAATTTTGGAAAAGTATTTATTGTATGTTCTGGGTAATCTGACTGTCACATCATTGGCCTCATAGTTTGTTCTTACAAGGGGTGTGACATATATATAGTTATGTATGACAAACAATAACATTATAAAAGAATATAAACATATTAATTGATAAAATCATTACAACTTTTTTATTGCTATGGCTACAGTTATAGTGAGAGTTATGCGGTCGCTCTGCAGGATAGTACCACTGTACTATCCTCTTGTACTATTCCAGTGAATGCAGAGCTCTATATATAAAATCAGCCATGCTACCTATGAGCTGTGTTTATATAAAGCATTCGGTGTCAAGGCATAAATTGCCAAAAAATATATGGCAAGTTTTTCCGTACTTCAGAAGGCACGTTAAGCCATTGGTACCGGCTGAGTCACATCAGTACTTATTATTATTACCACATCAATATAATTATTAATAATAAAAACTGCTGTTCTTAAAATACTATCCATAGATTTATACTAATGTAAAAGCGATAGTAACTGACTTTCATCGGCCAATTCAGTGGCCTGTATGTAGTGAAATTAGATGTAGAAATAGTTTGAGACTTAGAGAGGATATAGGTCATTATTTTCTTAAAACATCAGGTAAAACCGGATATGATATTTGCTGTATCTATTCGTACCGTTATAACAATACATCAAACATTATATCAAGTGGAGAAATTCGACAGTGCTCTTGACTGTACATCAAACTGATTTACTATTGTGTTGTCGACTCACCATTTCTATAATTAATGTGCTAGTTGATTGCAGGACAGCGTTAGCGGAAGCTGAATTGGAGTATGATCCACAGTTTAAAAGCAAAGAGGTTTATGTTTTATTCCCCATTAACAAGATGTCAGTAAAAATGGAAGAGGCTGCGGCTGGGTAAGGTGTTTATTTGATTTAATTGTTTTATTTAATTTAAATTGGCTACTTGATTGTTTTGGTATTTGAAAATAGTGTTATTATATAAAGAAAATAACATATTTTTTCATCAATTTGAAATGCCAGCAAAAGCAATCAGTCACGTGACATTATAAGCAGTGATGACGCATTATAATTTGTCAATATGCGATGCTTTTCTGTCTACGTCGTAATGTAATGTGACGTCACACGGCGCCCCGTTATGGCGGCCGCGTTTCAGTCTTTATAGTGGAAAAGCATAGTCAAACCAATAAGATAAACACACCATTACAACCTGAAACTTAATGCTGGTTAAATAATAGAAGAGCCAATAACGAAGAAATTGAATTTAATTCTAGAATTTAAATTTAAAAGTTATTGTTTACATAAAAATTACCATTTCCAACATATTTCATAATCAATTATTATAACTGTCATGTAGCCAAATTAGTTAAGAAATCAAAAGTCACTTAAAATTTTTATTATAGGTGTAATTTTATATCACGAAATAATAAAGTGCATTATTTTTCTGCTTTATATGTGCTCACCCCTTATTCATAAACACATTGTAAACCCATTTAGTAAATGTATGTTATCTCTCTGTCATTTATCTAACAAGTGTAAGAAAATGTATTTTTATCAATGAAACCGTTAATTTCATGCTGCAATTCTATATTAATTATTTTTAGAGATTAATGAACTAAATGGAAAAGATATACGAAATATGTATTATAATCTATCCCGCCCTTACCCAAACAGGCAAAAAGTGTCAGCAATTATTTGGACTACCACCCCATGGACTCTTGTTGCAAACCGAGCTGTCTGCTACGGTCCTCAGTTGAAATACAGCTTGGTTAAGCTCGGATTTCGTCCAGGCTTGTTTCTGATTGGAAGCGACCTGATAGATGACCTGGAGAAAACTTTTAACACTGAAATAAAGAAACTGGCAGAATTCGATGGTATGTTCGTATTGAAAAAGCTTTAGAATGTTTTTCCCTACTGCGACCACAACAAGTAGGATAGCACAGTTGAATGCAGAGCTCTGGATATATAAAATCAGCCACAACACCTATGAGCTGTGTTCATATAAAGCGTTCGATCTCAATGCAGAAGTTGCTAAAAAATATATCTCAAGGTTTTTTCGTGCTTACATCTGTAGTCATCAGATTAATCCGCACTATGCCCGCGTTATGGGTCCCTATCTTCCGCCATATTTCCTATGCATCAGGAGTGGGGGAATATTAATAGGCTGATGATGGTGTCCAGGTCAGGAGCTGCAAGGTGTCACATATGACAACAAGTTGGTAGGACAAGGTCTACCGTTTCTTGCTGGTGATCATGTGACGTCAGTGAAAGGCACAGGGCTTGTGCACACAGCGCCTGCGCACGGACCTGACGACTTCCTGGTGGCCCTTAAAAATAATATGGATGTTGTAAGTGTCAAGTAGCAAATAACATTTGTTTATCTATAGATTTTCATTTCAATCGTACAAAGCCTTTTAAATGGGTTTGCATTGCCTTCATAGAACTTTGTTAACATTTACAAGATATTTATATAGTTGATTATGAGTTTATTGAAATTTTGAAACCCAATTGTCATTCGTAACTACTACAATTATAATTGATAATCTAACTTAAACTTACGATTGAACTTGATTTGATATAATTTTTGGTAAAATAAAAAATACAAATACCACCCTACGATGTACCTTATTATCGTAACTTACGTAAACTAATTTATCTACATAACAAAATATCTTCAATTTCTGTCAGCAATGCGACGTAGACGAATCTGGTCGCTACATGAATCTGGACGATGAGTTAAACGGTCTACCTGTCCTCGCTGAAGGTCAGGATATGGTGATAGCGAGACTTGGAGAGTCCATTCTCCATCAGGACACATACGTACACTCGTATCCGCTGGACTGGCGCACCAAGAAACCGGTCATCATTAGAGCGAGCCAGCAGTGGTTTATTGATACTGAATCTCTAAAAGACAAAGCTTTGGTGAGTCATAAGCATAGATATTCTAACTAATTCGGATTATTAACTTTTTTGTTAGTTTTATGATAATTTATATTAATTTTTACAAAAGTACAGTTAGTACACATTTTTGCCACGTTGTGCGATGCGATCGTTTCGGCGGTCCCACCACTATAATGCATGTGCTATCCAATACACAGGGCTATTTGTAAAACTTTATTTGTGTAGTTCTTGAATAAGTTGTTCAATTGAATTAGTTCACTTCGCAACTCAATCTCCTTCAGTAGTTCATTTCTATCGCATTTAATTTACCACTTCAATTGATAAAGGAATTAAATGTTCCTTTATCAATTACAGTAGTGACGAAAACACATGTATGAAAATGCGCGCGGAAGTAAGTCAGTTGCTCGAGTGAACGTGTAACACAAATTATTGGCAAATTATTCTTGGTATAAGGTCTCCCGCCGTAGATTTACGGACCGATGGCGTAGCTCTCGACTTTCACAAGTGTTTGTAACAGCCTAGAATGAATAAATAATTTAGAATTTTTATTTTTTTATTGCATAATAAGCTTTAAGACACATACGTTTAAGTATCGATCGAAACCATAACGATCCATGGGCTAATTGTCTAATTTCAAATTATATCGGAATTCCTATCACAAATATAGCAATTGTGATAGTGATGATGATAGATAGATGATTTATTGAATTATGTAACGTTTAAAGTAGCAGTCGCTTTCAGAACAAATAATGACTGATCAAGAAACATAATAAAACTTGCGTCTAACGCTTACCTTAGATAATTCTAATTAACGTCAAACTTTAACTTAACTTAATAAAGACTTAACTTTATAAAAATCCGCAATCGCAATCACATTTCAATTAGTTGTAGCGTAAAATTCGTTAATACCTTTCAAATATCAAATTGAAAGGGCTTGCGATAGATTTGAAAATTAGGCTCCCGGGAGAACTAAACTTAAATAATGGACGAGAGTCCGAATCGAGTCGAAAGAAGATAGCAGTCCAACTAGATGAATTAAGGAGTGAATTTAGTACGAACGAACTGTATAGTTCTTTTCACTTGAGTGAGCCGTTCTGCGCGTGTCTATAAAAAACTAACAATCTTGTAGGACTGAATAGCCAACAGCGTAAACAATGTCCGTTCTACGAGTTTTGATAATTCGGTACGTCTTAGTTTCATACAAAAATTTAATTTAATTTACTGCTCGAATGTTAATACTAGCAACAGTAATATGTAGATACTAGACAGGCGCGTTAGTTACTCTTTCGTTTATAAAGAAAACATAGATGTACAAATATCATGAAAGTACATACAATATGAAAAAATTAAAAAAATATTTTATGAATTTTTTTTTTGAGTTACATTAAAACTACTAGATCAAACGTTGTTTATCTATTTACAGTACAGGTAGTCTTAGTACTTACAGCATGTTAGGTTTTTGACATACGCGTCGGCGAGATATATTTTTATATGTTTATATGTTCTTAAAATAATTATGTATTTAAGAAATTGGTAGTTATTTTTGGAATATTGTTTAATTGTCACTTTACTATGCAAAATACTCGTATATAGCATTGATAGGCCGCACAAATTGTGTTACTAATACTAACGGTTCAAAATTAGGATCACCTCGAAAATTTTCATGGAAACAATTTACATATGTTCGAGGAATAGTGTCAAAAAATTGTCTGAACTCGAAACGACGTAAGTGGAAGATTGCCTGTATTTATATCCGCACGCCGTATCTCTTAGGGGATATGCAGAGAAGACCGAGGGCCACCAGACACAGTCCTTACATACATCTTTCATCTTGTCACTTTTAATACTCTTTTTAAACATGCTCGTCGGTTTTTATATTTTAATCTAGCTGGGTTGTTGGTGTTTTACAAATAACCCTGTATAATTTTAGTATTATATTTCAAGTCATATGCGTACATGGCGCTATGCTTCCGTGTGCTTGTAATGACGGATTTTTCATTTGTGTGACAGTGACACTTCAGTCGCCGAGTAACACGAGTTCTTGCTGCGCTCAACCAAGCAAATCCATGCTGGGTTTGCTTGGTTGAGAGCAGAAAATCTGAAAATTCATAGTTAGATTTTTCTAGTAGTAATAAGTTCAATAACATGTTTGATTTTTTTTAAGCAACTATATTATCAATCGTAACAGGTTATTATAAACTTGTTTTTAAACAAAATAATCTACACTAATTTATATTAGTTACAGCTCGTCACATTTATTCTTTGTTATTTTCTATTTGTTGAAATTACTGTATATGTATTTGACCGTATCTCTTAAGTCACTGTGTACTTATGTACAAGCCGCCACGCGCAAAGATGAGTTGATCTTACTATATTATTTTATGTGTGACGCAGGCTGCTCTAGAGAACATATCAGTGTTACCCAGCTCTAGCGCGGAACAATCATGTCGTGGTTTCCGTGGGCAACTGCAGCAGCGTCCGTACTGGTGTATATCGAGACAAAGAGCCTGGGGCGTGCCGATACCGGCGTTGTATCGCGGACGTGACGTCATAGTCCACGAGTGAGTGTCTTTGGAAAATATTACACTTTGAAACTTGAAAAAAATAGGGAAATAACTCGGCAAATAACAAACAAACGATTAAAATTACCTTAAGCAAATAACGGTTACATGCAACGTACCAGTTCATATTTAATTCCTGGCTTTAGTAACCAAATAGACCTGAGATTTAGGGATAGCATAAACCGGAAAAACATTAAAAATGGATTGATTGATAGATTGAAAATGAATTGTATGTATGTTGAATGTATTATTATTTTATATTTATTGATGTATATGACTTATTTAGATTAAACTTCCGTGGTTTTTTGTTGAGCAAGGTGATATATAATTGATAATGTATGATTATTAAGTAATAAATAAAATATAATGCAACAACTTATAAAAAAATAACAAAGATAGTCCAAAGAATGTCCACACGTGTGGGCACACATACTAAAGTGTGACGTCACTTAGCGTGAATTTTTAGAGAGCGTTTTCGATCGACTAGCAGCAGTTCCACAAACATAGTACCGTATCTTCGAAACTTTTAATTCTGACTTCTGTATGTTGAATGTATTATTATTTTATATTTATTGATGTATATGACTTATTTAGATTAAACTTCCGTGGTTTTTTGTTGAGCAAGGTGATATATAATTGATAATGTATGATTATTAAGTAATAAATAAAATATAATGCAACAACTTATAAAAAAATAACAAAGATAGTCCAAAGAATGTCCACACGTGTGGGCACACATACTAAAGTGTGACGTCACTTAGCGTGAATTTTTAGAGAGCGTTTTCGATCGACTAGCAGCAGTTCCACAAACATAGTACCGTATCTTCGAAACTTTTAATTCTGACTTCTGTTTTATTTTTTACAAATTAATAAACTATTTATTTATAAAATAAAAGAAATTAGTCAATAGGCTAGCTATTTATTTCTCTATATGAAATAATACAAGGAGAAAAAGCTGTTTAAACCTTATGGTTATTGAAATAAGAATAATTATAACTAATCGTATATTCGGTCATCGTCGGAGTTTTTTAGTCAGCTCTATGCAAAAGAAGATTCTGACTTATAGGGTTAAATTTGTAACTTTTTTGCCCTTCTTTGATATAAAATTAATTTCAGGAGTGTGATTGAAAAACTGTGCTCTCTGATAGAGGATAAAGGGCCGGATGCATGGTGGACGTGTGACGTCACCGAGTTGTTATCTAAAGACGTGGTGGAGAAATATCAATTGCGTGATGACGTCACTAAAGGACAGGTTAGTGGAAAAATAATACCTACATTAGATACAACTAATATTGTTCGCTGATGTACCTACACGGTATGCTAAATATCGAAGAGTGGTACATGTATTTTATTTTATTTGTTACCCATATTATGAGTGTGCTTAAATCTATCTATCTCTTCACATAGTATCCCTAAATATAACAAGGCGGTCATCTCGAGTAATCCGCATTTTGGATTTAGTATATAATCAATTTATCTTAATCTTCTTAATGAACCGATATACCTTGTCTAACTATTTTTCAGCCAGTTGCAGAAACATCCATTAAATCTTTCATTAATTTAATGTGACATTACCCATACAATTTTGACATTCATTAGAGCTTAAGGGAGTCATTAAATCTTAATGAACGTTTCTGCAACTCACCGTATGTCGTTCAAACTAGTTAGCTAAATATCAGCTTAATCGATTGAGGATAGCTTTGTAATTCAATTGCAAAATTTGATCAACATCTTACGTTGTAAGTATAATAAAAACTTATAAAATATAGGGCCTAATTGTCACCCCTTAGGTTATCATCCTCACCTGCCTATTAATGTCTCCCAACGCAGGGGCTCAGGGTTTCCCCACGGATGGGATTGAATCAAAGCTAATAGGGAGAATAGGTAATGGCCACAGAACATAGAGAGAGATTAGAAGTATAATGATATTAATTTAGTATGGGAACCGAGTGTCGCCTCTCCGCACACAAATACAGATTAGATGAAATGACCATTTTGTTCACTACATGAAAAACCGCCACGCGATAGGTTCGCGATAACATAAACCAAATCCCAAAAAGATACTAAGCTAAGAAATCACAAGATTAAAAACAAACTCTAATTCAACGTGATAATAAATAATTTACTTTAACATGAATGTTGAACTGTCACGTGGCTGTATATGGGGATACCAGAAGGAAAAAAATATTTTAAGATTATGCACATTTAAAAAAATTGGGGTCATCATTTTATGTGCGAACTATTAATATTAGATTTTGCTGTAACCAAGTGAATACTGAAAAATTAAGGCTTTTCCCTACATAATTTATTAAAATATCTTTTGAAAAACGCAGTACAAAAACTAAGAAAACTTAATGATACACTCTATCGTATGTCTGTGGAGTAATATAATTAAGCGAGGGAAAGTGTAAAAAAAACAAAAATTAAGAAAACAACAGAATTTTCGTATTAATTACATTAAGCCTAATTTGTATTTTTTTACTGGTATCATTCCGATTGTGCATATTAGTGATGTGACATATTAGTTGATAAAATAAGAGCTTTAAATTTTGTTATGAAACAGTTCAATGTAATTCAGTTCGACAATTTTCTACAGTGGTTTGATAGTAATTATTTAAAGCTTTATTCAAATAAAACGAAATACATAAAGTTTGCATTACCTAATGTGAGGCATGTTAATATACTTATAAATGTAAATAGTGAAAAAGTTGAGATGGTGGAATCGACAAAGTTCCTTGGTATTTTGGTATATTGATAATTTGTCAAGTAGACTGAGTTCTGCAGCATTAAGAAAATTAGACTCTTAACAAATGTTGAAACGGCAAGATTGGTATATTTTAGTTATTTTCATAGTGTAATGAATGACGTATAATCTATTGTTATGGGGTTCTGCGGCTAGCATTCAAGATATTTTTATTCTACAAAAGAGAGCTGTCCACGCTATATATAATTTACGGTCTAGAGAATCTCTCAGAGAAATATTTGAAGAAATAAATATTTTGACTGTTGCCTCTCAATACATCAATGAAAATATTATGTACGCAAGAAAACATTACGATTCCTTCACAAAAAAAAAGTAGAAATAAAAAAACTTGCCATTTCAAGTGCTTGTAATAGCCGCCTTCTTGAATAAAGATATTTTCATTTCATTTAATAATAACTTATATGATCATTACACTAATAAATTGATCATAGCCATGTTTGTTTTACTTTATTATTCTAAGTTTTATATCTGTAATAATAGTAGTAGCTACATTATTAATTGCAACGACTGGACAATAAGGAATTGCTGGTCAAGTATGAGTTTGAAAGCCGTGACAAAAAAAGTTTGAAGATAGACACAAAAGCGATAAGTACGTACAAACGTCAATCTACATATAAAGTCACATCCGTTTGAGACATGCGTCTATAAACTTATGTGCAAATATGGAGCAACAAAAAAACTGATAAAAGCTGTTCTGTGGGCGGTTCTTTAAAGTGGCTTTCTTAACTCGATTTCTATAATAATAGTTTCCGATTATGAATCAGCATAATAAGGTAAATTAAATTGACGCCTAAAAATTAATTTTGTAAATTAAATTCACACCACCAACAATATTACGTTAGTTGAAAACATAATTTTTTGTTTGTATAGATATTATGTTGTTTTGAAATTCATTTGATAGGTTTAGGTCTAAAACAGATAGGGCAAAATTAATTATGTAAACAAGGCAATCCATTGTATAGTTATTAGGGAAACTGAAATATAAGTAATGCAAAATAACTCTTAGCTTTTCATGAAGTTTCGTTTAATTTATGTATTGTTCATAAAACGGTGATATACTTCGTAACTTAGATATTTATAGCACATCAGTATTTTTTAATATTTATCTGTGTGTAAATAATTAACCGAATCTTCGTAAAAAAAGTGCTTGGACAGTTCATTATTTCATTTGTTCAGTATCAGTTCATCTATAATTTTCCCTTGTAAACAGTATTTTTTAGTTTTATATAATTATGGCATATATTTATCGATAACGTTGTTATGAAATGATGAAAGAAAAGCTCTAAATAAATATGTTTTAGTTATCGATTACGATCTATATAATTAACAATACGATTCCGAGCAGCAGCAGCCTATCGGTACATTTCAGACAAATGGAGGCACAGCACTATTTTTTTCAAAAGTGTACAAAATGATTTACATTGCTGTTTAGTAATGGGGTCAGAAACATTGATGTTGGTTTCAGCAATCAATGTATAATTTATTTAACATTGTGTCAAATTATTACGTTTTTTATATTTTAGCACTAAAATTGTACTTACCAGTGAAAGGAAATGTTTGCATTAGTTAGATTGTATACTTTGCTTTGCTTTTTGCAAGTGATAATAGCACAAAACGGCATTTTTTATAGAAAAAATCTGTAAAATCACCACTCGACGATTGACGAACGACTGGCAAACATAAAACCGAGGAAAGGGCGTCATATGAGTAAAAGCGCATATGCCAGCGACGCGTGCCCCGCCCACTTACTACTTCTATTCTCTCTCTATGTTCTGTGGTAATGGCCCACTACGCTGACCCAATGCGTATTGATGGGTATAACCAACGGCTTCGGAAGGCACGTTAGGCTTACGAAGTACGGAGCTCGAGATACCTAGTAAATTAAAATTTTTGGTCGCCCATCTATGACCGACCTTTGCGCAAGTTGATTTACAACCATATCGCAGATTGAGCACGCTATTTACTGTGCCATCGTGCTTTAGCTCCCTTTTGGTACGGAATCTTAAAAATATGTTTTTTATGTCAAGGACATAATGGACATTTGGTTCGATTCCGGCATTTCTTGGACTACATTAGGCGGTAAGAAGGCGAAATTATACTCCGAGGGTCAGGATCAACTTACTGGTTGGTTCCAGGCATCTTTACTTACTTCCTTAGCGTTAACCGGCGAACCACCTTACGAGTAAGTAATTAAAGGTTATTTATCAATAACATTTTAGAAAAGTCGCTTACTGTCTATCCTTTTAACTACACAACGGATTTTAATCCTGTTGTCATCATATATTCAAGAGGAAGATTTATATGTATAATACAGGACCACGCGGGCGAAGCCGCCGGCGGAATGTAGTATCTAATATTACTAACGGTCGGTTTCAATAACTTACTATATCCGTAACTGGAGATTTGACAGTATATCTGTTACTGTCTTTTACATTGTAAACAACAAAGACAGATATACTTTAAATCTCCAGTTACGGATATAGTAAGTTATTGAAACCGGCAGTAAGAGGTAAAGTTTCTGACGTTGTTTATAGGTGTTAATCTTCGGAAATACTGATCCGTTTACGAAATTACTGAAGCTACGTTATACGTGGGTGACATAAGTAGCACGAGTAATGTCATTGAGAAAATATTCTTCTTAAAGGTACGGTTGTATATTTACGGGAAAATAACACGGCGGGAATTTTTATAGAGCTGCGCCTAAAAATAAATTTTCATGTACATTGACACACTGTGGGTGATATTAAAGCTTATAAGTATGTCTTTGCAATATCACAATTTTTATAACTGAAAAAGAAGCGAGAGGCGCTATAATAATGTGACAAAAATTAATATTTCAACATTTTTATTAAATAGGTATTATAAGTAGTAGGTATTTATACGTAAGATGTGTAGGGGTTACATTATATGTATTATATGTATATGTAAAATACACCAGATGTAATGAAAAAATACTCTCAAACACGTGACACAGGATTTTATAATATTAAATCTAAATAAAATATCAAAGAGTAAAGCGGAATATTTACCCAGGTAGACTATCTAATCTTCTTGTAAAATGCCAATTAACAATATTGTTGAAATACAAAACGTTGTTTTTTGCACGACTGCAACTCGACAACGCCTTCTTTGTAATTATCATAAATACATTTAATTTTTTATTTACCACAGCAATAGCTTTATTTTTCTATATATTTTAAAGTTCAATATCAAGTAAAAACTGTGCTTATAAGTTTAATACCAAGCAATAATTGTGCTTATAATATGCGTGTATCTAAACGAAAATTAATTGTGACTTTTGCGATCGTAGCTGTAGTACTACTTTACTGTTTGGGCAATGCTAATATCTATAAAAAACGTACTATATTTTTTGGCATATTTTGTCGCATGTTCTAGAGAATTGTGATCAGGACCATATATTTTAATTTATTTTAAATGTAATTTTTACGAATTGTTAAATACTGTACATTTTATTTGATTCTTTGAGCAGAATCCGGCCATGTCTTTTGTTATAAGCGCACAAATTTCTCCTTAAATTCATCATCAGCCGTCTTACGTCCGAATTGCAGGGATTTAAACCGTCCCTATGGATGGTTGAGTAGAATGGGCCATAACCCTCCACCATTGGCTACGTTGGGAGGATATTAACGATTACTAATGCAGCTCCTTAAATTAAGATTTTCTTTTTCCTCAGAAGATACTTCAAAGATTTTGAACTTTATTTAATTGTATTAAAGTTTAAAATTAATTGAATATATTAAATAATAACATGTCTGTACTGATTATTATTATTTCTAGCTCGTTATATTTTCAATAAATACTTTTTATTATCCTAATAGGTCGATATTCGTGCATGGTTTCGTAGTAGATGAAAAGAAACGGAAGATGTCGAAATCTGTAGGCAACGTGATAGAGCCATACACGATCATACACGGTGGGAAGGACCGCAACACTCAGCCACCATACGGCATCGATACTCTACGGTAATAAGTTATTTTTGTTTGTGTTTTATATATAAAAAAAAAACAAAAACCGCATATGCCGGCACATAGAAATCTTATTTACACACGTTATTTATATATCTCCTTAACCAAAATCAACGTTAATATTTTTAACATATAACTTAAAACAATAAAAACAAGACGAGAAAAAGGAGACAAAAATTGGCGGGCTAAAATGTAATAAGTTAAGTTACGCTCGAAACAACAGTCATATTATTTTATCTTACTTTACCAAAATTCATATCATTATCAATCTGCAAGTGGAGACTGGCAAAACCTGTTAACTGACACTTTCTACAAAAACAAAATGCGTTTTTCCAGACTTTGCAGCTTAAAATTTTCTATCGAATGCTATATTGGACTCATTTTTGTAAAAATGTCAGTTAATAGGTTTTACTCACTCAGGTGCGAAATATGAGTCATCTAATGTATGATATAATACGCAACAACAACGACACATGTGTGATACCTTTCATTAATGATTTTAATGTTTGTTTTCTTCAACAGTTGGTGGGTAGCGAGTCATTCCACTCAGCATTCACAGATCATCATAAGCAAAAAATTATTGGACGAATGTCAAAGCGAAGTTATTAGAATAAGAAATGTATTAAAGTACCTATTAGGCGTAATCGGTGATTTAGACAAGACTCATTTTGAGAAAAAACCAAAACTGAATCATTTAGACAAATACATGGTACAAGAGAGCAGTGAATTTCTAAAGCAGATCTACGGAAATTACAACGGTTTTAATTATAATCGTCTATCACAAAATGTACTCTATTTCATAAGCAATAAAGTGTCAGCTTTGTACTGTCATTGTGTAAAAGACCGATTGTATTGTTCGCCGAAGAATTCAGACGAAAGATTGTCAGCACAATTAGTCGCGCACACCATTTTAATATCTATTTGTAAATCTTTAGGGCCTATTTTGCCTCATTTAATTGAAGAGGCGTGGCGTTATCACCCTTTGTTCGAGAAACCGTTTTATTTCACTAGTTCGATACCGATTTTGGAAACCGAACCTTTTGAAATATCATTAATAGATATAATTTTGGAAATCAAAAGAGATATATGTGTTTTAGCTAATAATGATAATTTGAAGAAATTGAAAGTCCATATTAAGTTAGATGAAGAATTATTTAGAAAACTAGAAGGTATTAATGGACGCGATGGTTTGAATGATAGTGTTCTCTGTGAGATTCTAGAAGTTTCTGACGTCAGTTTGGAGGTTATGAAAGGCGGGAAAAAGTGGTGGATAGAACTGTCGACGACCGCTGCTGGTCAGTGTTTGAGATGTAGGAAATATAATGTTTATGAAGACAACGACAAGTGTGTGAGATGCGAAAGAGTTGTTAATCAATTATGAAGATATAACTTTCTGTCCCCAGATAGCGGCGCTTGCACATAGTAAAAAATGTTTTATATACGTCAAACGTCATTCACAGAGAAGTGGGCAAAGAGTAAAATAACAGTGAGCATAGTAGGAATATAATATTCAATTAATTTATAATGAGAAATCATTAGTTTATCCAATAATACATCATTGTTGCATATTTGGATGTAAGAATAACCTTTTATTCTTTATGACAAAATTTTGGATAAAGTTTGTTTATTACATTTGCTAGTGCCATCTAAGCTGAACTTTGTGTAATATTCCCTATTAGATCATAAGCTCGAAGCAACTACAAAATGAATTCATTCGAATAAGAGTTTTTTATTTTCACCTCTGCTCTGCGATTCTGTAAAAATCCAGACCCAAAGGACATTGCTCAACGTCCATACATTGGTGGCCCCAGAGTCAAAAAAATATAGGAAAATACTTATTTTATTGTGTGTCACTAACTAATTCTCATTATGTATTTATTATACCGCGACCGAGTTTTAGAACTTATTATCACGCAAAATATAATTTATTTTGAGGTTATAATTTGTTTGGAAAACCACCAAGAGATGGCACTCTAAGTACATGATATGATATTGATGTCTATATTGTCGAAGCAAAAAAACTCAACCTTAAGAAAGTCGGTTTTCGTTGTGATTTTTAAAAGTTTCTAAGTCAATCAATAGACAAATAAATCATTCTAATAGTTAAATAATATACCTATTGATAAGCTTAAAATTAAAAACCTATAGCTTTTTGATGGTTTACATCAAAAGATGGCGCCTTAAATACATAAATGACATGATGTTAATAAGTTTACGAGAAATATAAAGGTAATGTAATAGAAACAAAGTAGTTTTTAGGATATGTCGTATGAATATCACATCACCAGCCCTTTTACGTCCCCACTGCAGGGGCTCAGGCCTTCCTTATGGATAGTTAAGGAGGATGGGCCATGACCCTCCACGCTGGCCCAATGCGGATTGGAGGGTATTAACGACTGCAAATGCAGCCGGGACCAACGGCTTAACGTGCCTTCCGAAGCACGGAGTAGCTCGAGATAATAATATTTTGGTCACCCATCCCGTGACCGACCCTTGCGAAAGTTGCTTAACGACTACGATCGCGGGCCGCGGCGCTTATCCACTACGCCACCGAGCTACTCCGTATGAATATCAATCTTTCTGAATAAACAAGAGTGAATTATCAACAGTTAATGAATTTAGTTTGTATAATGAATATGAATATTGCGAATAAAAATGTTACTATTAAAGTACTTTTAAATATTAATTTTGGATCGCAGCTTGTCCGTGTCAAATAAATATTTGATTCCAATTTAATAAATAAATTAGTAATTATTATTGAAGTATTAATATTTAATGGTATTGGGGCCATTTTCGGCGATGTCCTTTCAATTATCGAATGTGTCGGAATTCACGACACTTAGTGTAGAAATTCTATTGATTCCATTTTCGTATAAAAATACAAAACTAAAATTGATTGAATATACGTGTCTCAGCTATTCTATTCCTATGTCATTTCGAAAATCACTTCACTTATGCCACGAAACGTTATTTGACGGTTGAGCGGATGCCGCTTTTCGTAATGAATTTTTACACATGAGTAATTTTGAAGTCGGGTGTATTGTGTTCGTTTGTGTGATTGGGCATATTGGTTCTAAGAGAACTATCGCAGAACCTGTTTTACCGAGAAATACATCGATAAATACACCATATAGGTAATGAGTATTGTTAATTATTATAAATTACATTGTTGTAGTAATAAATAAATAAATATATTCAAAAATCTACGTGTTTATAATTTTTACCTGAAAATATTTTCTCTAGTTAGTAGTGAAGA